TGTTTTATTCCAAAAACGGACAGAACTTTCCGACTAGACCTGATATATGCATGTTTCACGGGCGCGTCGCGCGGGTATCGTGTTTCGTGTGTCAAAATTGTGGGGTCTTTTTCTCTTGATGATCGATCGCCGTACGCGAGGAGATGTAAATGAAACGCGTAGTGTTTACTTTGAAACTAGATTCTTGAGAAAACGACGATGCCGCGCCGCCTTTCCGAGAGGAAAGGCGATAACATGTACGGGCTTCGTAAAAAAAAAAAAAGAAAAAAATATCAAAGCACATTTTCTCTCATTCTCTTTGACAAAAAAACTGGCACAGCGATATATTGGCGGCGATGCTTAAAGTAATAATGAATTGAAAAACAAAAAATGTTGATGCGAACAAAGTCGATACACGCGTTGCGCGCTAAAAATAAATTATAAATACGTGTACGTCCGTTTCGTTAATTAAACAGCTTCGCCGTATGCAAATAATAATTGCGCGGAACTAACGAGCGCGGCGCCACACGCGATAATAAAAAAACGCTCGTTGAGTTTAAAGTTCGCGATTCACGAGACGATATATTCGCGCGTGGCAACTCCGCAGGTGAGAGATTCAACGTGTGACGTCAATTGTTTCATTGTTTCGCCGAGAATACGCGGGCAGAAGCGCGCGGATTCTCTGCTACATGTAAGCGCAATATAAAGTATATATATATATATACGCGCCGCTTTTACGAGCCTTTCTTCGTGCGGTGGCCGAGGTGTTCTTTTTCGGACGCGAACGAACGAGCCAGTCGCGTCTCTCTGCCCCCTCGAGGCGCGCCGAAGAGAAGATACCGCGCAGAAATGGCAGAACGTGCAACTCCGCAGCTAAAACGAATACATAGATAAAAAAACACGGCAGCCGCTTATCTCGAACGAGCTTGGAAACGAGGAGAGACTCGAGCAATTTATTTATCGCGACGACTTTGACGAGCGCTAACTTTGAGTCACACAAATGCGGGAGATTCGAAATTTCAGAAGTCAAACAATTGAAGACAAGAAATATATTTTAAGTCTGTATGTGTTTCTACATATATTTTATTTCGTACACATTCAATATTTCTTCCAGAGTATCTTTGAATTTTTATTTCTATTTCTATACACTCACACACATAAGAGATCTAATTTTAATTAATTAATTAATTAATTAATTAATTAATTTTATTTCTTTTCTTATTGATTTAACAATGCGTTTCAAAACTAGTTTCGAGACTCGCGAGGAGTTTCGCGAGACGCAACCTTGGCGAGAGATATTTAATTACGTCGTTCATCTGCGCAATGAGATCTCGTTTCCTGAATAGTCGAACGAGCAGAACCCGGACTGGTTCGATAAATTGAATGACGTTCAACGTCGCGCGCCGCGTTATACTTCGTAACGGGAAACGCGTTCGCCGCTTTCGCGACCGCGAGGAAAACCCGTATAATCCGTATAACCGCGAGGTGTAAAACTTTTACCCCGGCGTCGAAGTTTTTTACGACCGCGCGTGTACCACGGAACGGCAGAAAGAAATTCACTTGGTTCGATGTGGCCGGGGGGGAAACTTCGTGAAGTTCCGGGCCCCGGGATGCTGGAACATCGCGGTGTTGGTACGCTGTTCGCATAGCCGGTTCGACTGCATTTCGTGACGACGCCGCTCTCTCAATCTCTCTCTCTCTCTCTCTCTCGTTCGCTTGCTTGCTCGTTCGCGTTCACACACGGACAGATACAAAGACACTTTCGGTAAGGGGCCCCGAATTTCTCCGGTGGTCGTGGTTCCTGTGAAGTCGGGAGGCCCCCCGAGATACTCAAACCAGACAGAAACCATATGCAAACCACATGCGGAGAACGATTGCTCCGCCTCGGACGGAGGAAGAACCTGTGGTTCACTTTGTCGAGTAACGAGCCGAAGTCTCTCTCTACGTATAACGTGTGTGTCTCTCTTTTTCTCTCTTGTGCTCGTGGTTTCTATCTTCGCGTCTCCGTTTCCACCTCGTCGCGCGTGTGCTGTTATCGGGCGATTAATTTGGGGGGAGTCCGCGTGCGTCCGCGCGCGTCACCTCGCGCGTCTTGATAACGCCCGAGGGAAGGGATAATGGAGTCGCGATATAAGAAATTGTGCGCGAGATAGAGATTAATCGCACGCTTCGCACGTTTAACACGACGGTCTCCGGTGTTCGATTCCCGGACGAGCACGGACGGGCTTGTTTACGCGGATGGCAAAGATTGCGAGAGACAAACAGAGAGAGAGAGAGAGAGCGGTCGAGGTCTTCGCGGCGCGCGTTGGATTATTCTCGTGACAAAACGTCGTCGTGACGAAAATAACACGACGTCGATCCGCGACAGACGAGGCTGTCGTCTCTTCTCTCTCCAAGGATTTCCATTCTAAATTTCGATGACGAATTCGTCCAACTCGAATTCAAAGGACACTTACGTAAAAGAAACAACAAAAATAATCTCGAGGAAGTAAATCATAAATTCGTTACAATATATAATGTCTGAAACATTTTATTACGTAATGTCCGATAGAACATACCGAGTGGAAATTTAGCGTCTACATTGAATCTCAATTTTTGAAAAAAGAAAATTTCGGACGCATAGTAACGTCAAAGTAGCATGTACTTTTTTTCTTGCTCCTACTTTGAGCCTATCAGAGCCTATCTTGAGCCTATCAGAGCCTGCAGTGCGCAGTCTGATCTGAGAATTGAACCCTACTTTAAAACTTTGACAGGAAAAAAGGAAATTTCGGACGTACAGCAGCGTCAAAGTAGCATCTACTTTTTTTCTCACTCCTACTTTGAGCCTATCAGAGCCTATTTTGAGCCTATCAAAGCCTGCAATGCGCAGCCTGATCTGAGAATTGAACCCTACACCGAAAAAATGGTATTCTTGTTTTGAGGATATCCCACTTACTTTAAGTATATTTTATACTAAAATAGGCGCCAAGAAGAGTTTCTTATTTTAAGAGGAAAATCCTCTAAATAGTAATATTGATAAGAATATGTACTGATTAGAATATAAAAAAACTCTATAAAAAAACATATATATCTCACTATCGAAAAAGACTATATTCTTAAATTAAGAATATATTCTTAAATAAAGAATATATTTTTAATTTCAGAAGAATATCATCTAAAATCTTTAAGAAGATTTTTTAAGTATAAAATCTTCTACTTACAAGAATATAATTTTTTCGGTGTACTTTAAAACTTTGGCAGGAAAAAAGGAAATTTCGGACGTATAGCAGCGTCAAAGTGGGATCTACTTTCTCTCTTACTCCTACATAAAAAAAGAGGAATTGAGGTTCAATGTAGACGCTAAATTTCGACTCGGGATTTTTCCAAATAAATAAACAAGTTTTATTCCTATAATTATCTTGTACAAAATAAAATGGAGAAAGTTTCCGGCGACATCCGCGGTTAAATTCCCGCGGGGGAATCCCCTTTCCGTGGCACAAAGAGGGCTCAAAGGCCGTTCAAGCGCAGTCGAGATTCCATCGTGGATACAACACCCACACCCACGTACTCGTTCCCGACATTAGGCTAACTCGATTCGATCTCCGGCGATGTACACGTCCGTTCGTACATCCGTCCGTCTGTTCGTTTGCCCAAAACTTCCCTTCCCGCGGACGCGCCTGGAATAATGTCTCCAAACCGTTCTTCCGATCGTATACCCTATGCGGAACTAGTCGAGTGGTTTCTTTCAAATAAAAAAAAAAAAAAGCGTTCGAGAACGTTTCGCAGAGCGAGAGGCAGATTGTACGCGCGATCGGTTATTATTAGTTCAATAATTTGCGATGGTTTACGCAAAATGGGGGGGTCCCGCGCGCCATATGGTAAGCAGAAAAACGCGTACGTGTATATATGTTTTTATTTATATTATATTGAAATTCCAAACCCCTACACGTATTATTAATTAAATTTTTTTTTCTGTAAAAATACACGTTTCACGATTACCTGTTCTGATTTCAAAACTGTGCCAGTTTGCCGTGACCTATTTTTTGAAAACCAAGTGTCAGGGAGAGAGGAATTAAGGATTTTTGATCGAATTCTCGAAAAGAAAATCAAATGTTCGTAGTGAATTTTGCGACGATGATTTATATATATATATAGACGACAATACACAAATCGGATTATTTATCGTGTCCGCGCTCGTATTTTTCGTTCGCTCAATAACACCGAGCGTTCTCGCTCGAAAACAAATAGCGATGTTTACGAACGTGCGCGTATCATATTTCTGCCACGAAAGTAGCGAGTAAAGAGCGTTTATGAATCGCTAGGCTCGCAACTGCACCGCGCATTCAAATCACCGGTCAGTGCTCCGCTTGGTTATCTCTACCTCAGCTCGCAGGCCGAGAGGGATCCGTGCACGCGCGCGCGCGCGCTCTGCGCTCTCGTGCCGCGGTAATATTAATAATGGCACATGCACTTCGCGGACTTGCCGCGTCGTTCCCGCAGCAACTATACTCCGAGAGAATCGTGCGTTTTCTCACGATTAATTAATATAATCGGCAATTGGATTGGTAATTCACCAACCAGATGAATATATTTCTCGTGTTATTTCTCTCGTGTTCGCGTTTCGCAAGTAAAATATTCCGCGACGAATTCTGCAAATCGTTATAGGAGTCAATAACTCGCGACAGAGTTTTAGTATTATCGTCTTTCGACATCTTATGTCGTCATGTCCCCCTCATAAAAAGTGAATGGCACTGATGACTGTAAGGGTTCGAACACATGCATCAATTTTGTAGTGTTATAAAATTCTGGTGTTAGGCAACGGTGTAGGCCAACGGTGTATGCTTCTGCGAAAGAGTTTTTTTTTTTTATTTTATCTTCGAACTTTTCATAAAACACATTAAATTATTACAAAAAATACAAATAATTTACATTCGACATTTATTTTTTATCATATAGAGATTTGCGATTTAACGTCTCTCTTTTTTTATTTTTTAATAATAAAATCATCTTCAAGATAAATTTTTGGGCCAGCGTCAACTCACCCTTACCGGCCTTCCTAGATTCCCATGGCACAGTGCACACCGGTATAAACACGAGTTTTGTCTCTCGTCACTTTGCTTGCTAATTAATTACGCGACGACACGTTTCAAAAATCGCGCACGTTTTTTTTTTTTCACTCGCGATTTCAGACCGCAGACGAGTGAGAAAGAAAATTATACGTCGTGTAAAAAATCGAAATAAAAATTCCAACACCGATCGAACGATATTTAGCGCGAGATTATAACGAACCGCTGAGAGACGCCGACGACTATTGCGGTCTTCCCCTTACGATAGAAACGAACTTTGGGCCTGCGGAGCGCTGTCCCGCTCCTCCCGGTGCTCAGGACCCACGGGTCTCTGCGCTTGCGCACTGAGAAAAGTCCCCTCTACTCCTTGACAGAACGAAAGGTAGAGGGAGAGAACGACCGGCAACCCTCTTTCCACAGACTCGCTTCTTTTCGCGAGTTGATATACATATATTGTATATATATGTGTGTGTATGTATATATCTCTAAGTGTATATGCATATATATATATATATGTATATAAATGCACATGCGTGTATCTTATACTTTTACCTGCTCCTCCACGTAGTGCTCGCTCAGGTGGCAGCACCTCGCTTGACGCGTGCACCTGATGGCAGGCCGGGAACGGAAGAGGTCCGAAGCCAAGTGCATCGGGAACCTGCCCACATCTGTGCGGAGGAAAAGTCCGAGCGACACTCATTGACACTATCGACTCGATCTTTTTTTTTTCTAGCCCGCAGCAGAGAATGAACACGTTCTACAGAACGATTTTGAAATATTGCGTATCGGCAGATATAGTAACCGAATGCGTATCCAAGCGTAATCAACATTCAATTCGGTATTTCAAGAAATTAGACTCTCGGCAACTGTGTCTCTCTCATTCCGATATAAAAACTAGTAAGGTCAATAATTATAATTATGATAAGGGCTGTTGGGGAACCGGTAAGCAGGATGTTATTGCCGTAAATAAATGTATTATATCTTATTTACAAACGTTTCGGTTTTTATTCAAACCATCTTCAGTGTATCTATATAGAAGATGGTTTGAAGATGGTTTGAATAAAAACCGAAACGTTTGTAAATAAGATATAATACATTTATTTACGGCATAACATCCTGCTTACCGGTTCCAACAGCTCTTATCATGATTATAATTATTGGCATAACCAAAGGAACCCGAGGAAACACCTCAATATCAGAATAACTAGTAAGGTTTCCAACAATGAAACTTTTCATCAAGTTGATTATTCGTATACGTTGCAAGATAAAAAAATTCTCAGTTGAACCAGGAGAGAGAGAAAGGTTGAAAATAAAAAAACCTTATCGCACTTTTTCTCATTTTTCTTTTATTGTGTTTTCTTTATCAGTTTCTTTTTTCTTTATTTTTTTTTTTTTTTTCATAGACGAGAACTTTGACAAACAAAGAGTCAATTGGGACTTCTGTCGCACGAGAAGGTCAAACGTTTTTGATTGACAAGGAAAAGGACGTGGTTGTTACGTAATCGCGCGTCGTCTGATAACGCCGGTGTCCTCGACCGGTGTGCTTGTTCCTTCCGGCAGTAAAGTTCTCGCATTCAGCCAGCCGGGACGCGCGGTGAGATCCGCAGGAATTCGCGACGTAACGCCTTATGTCTTGTCGTTAGGAATAACGCGCGGAGAAAGGGAGGGGTGAAAAGGGTGGCCGGAGAAAGGGAAGCTAGTGCTTCGGAGGACACTTGGATGCACACGGGTGAGCAACGCCGTATGCGTTAATAATCCTTCCTCGTCTCTTTTACCTTTCATTCGCTTTCGTGCTCGGTTGTGTTTGAAGAAAGAAGGGAAGACGAGGACGCACGGATCCTTCGCGCCTCCACTCTCCCCTCTTTGTCTCTTCCTTCCGCTCGCGGAACGCACGCCCGCGTTCCTATTTTCCTCTACTTTATAAGAACTCTTTGTTTTCTGTTCTGTCCTACGTATGCGAGCGAAACCTACGAACTTTTTTCGTTTAACAAAATAATTACGAATTTAGCGTAAAACGTGAACTTGCATTTGATAAATTTACATTTTTTAATTTGATTATGTGCTAAATTTGATATAATTTTATATGTGGCATTATTTTATCTTAAATTATTTTTTTTTAATTATTTTTTCAAATTATCTTATCTTAAATTATTTTTTTATTTACAAATCACGTTGTCATCAACTTAGAATATATTATAACGTAGAAAATATATAAAGTGTAACTTTTTTGCAATAAAAAGAACATGATTTCAACATCTCTAATTTGTCGGTCGCGTATGTTGCAATCACGTGACAACGTGAAAAGTCACTCTTTGACACGTCGAGCTACGTGCCAAATAGTGTTTCTGCTCGCACATTGTAGAAACAGCGGAATCATTTGCCGACAGATCGATGCACACGAGTGAGCACGACTATATCCGCGGAATACGAGATATAGTTACGGAAAAAAAAAACGCGTTATTTGACTTCTCGCGTTGCGCATATTCGCGCGCGCGCGCGCGCAAAAGTTAAACGGGACTGTACAAGTTGGAAAAATTCAAACCAAGTTACTTGGAAAGGATTCAACAAACTTGATGAAGTAATTAAAAATTATAGCGGGAAAATACAGAACCACCTGTTTCTCGAGATTGAGCGACGGTGGTGATGAAATTTGGCTCTCGTCTGGTTCGAAGAACGGAAAATTATTATCCGCTTTTTTAATATTTGAGACGTGAGTCACCGGCGTACACTCACACGCGCAGAGTTCGCGGAATGAGCCTTTTTCATATTGTTATACATACACACACACACACACGCGCACACACTTGCGAGGATTGAGAGACGGTCACGCATATATTGTCAAAGAATTTGCGCACGTGCGTGGGCGTGTCGCGTATGCGTGAACAGCTTGGAATTCAAATCGAACGCGAGAAAGAAACGCTCGAGAGACAAGACGACGTTCGGAAAACGTGGCCGCGTGGTCGTTAAAGGCAATGAGAGTCGCATGAAAGTGAATTTCACGGGAGAAAGAGAGGAAAAGATACTCATCTCTTCTTGCGCGAAACGTATCGGCATCTAATCTCGCGTATGCGAGATGCACGGAATGCAAAGATTTCATACGTACGTCTGCAGTACACGTGATTATCACGTGAAGAATTTTATTTTCCAAATAAAATTGTAAGAAAAAAATGAATCGAGAGAAAGAGAGAAAATATTACGCTTTTAAATAAAAAAATATTTTTATCGCAAATTTATTAGATTACATTACATAATTTACATAAAAATAATTAATTACGCAATAACACACTTACATTAGTTTTAACTCGGTTGAGACAAACTTGATTATCATCATTAGTTAGTTAGTTATCGGTTATAAAAAACCTCGATAATCTTCATTGGTTATTACTTTTTTACTCTTAGATACGATTTGTTATCATTACGCTGATTACAATTTGAAGAACTGTTGTTTTTTTTTGTTTTTTTGTTTTTTTTAACGATTGTCAGACGTGTTCGCACGGTTTGCGCTAAAAGTAAAAGGTACGAGAGTAAGAGTCTGACGAATATATCGCGCTAATAAGATTACAGCTGCTGCAGAATCTCGCGCGCACGTGATACGCGATTCGAACTTCCTCCCGCGCGCACTTTTCCGAACGTCATTATCGCATCAGCGGCAGTTGTGATCTCTCTCGGGAGGCGGAGGAAAGATAGATCGAAGTCGAATCACTCTCGGCAAAACGAAAAAAACGACGTGGCAAAAGCTCGTTAAGTAAACCGCGATAAGAGCGCGATTGGCGATAACTCTTCACTCTGCGAATACTGGTTGTACCGTTTTATGCACCATTGTTTCGCCCTTCCTCCTTCTGCATCACGTGTTTAAATTACCTATTCAACATCTAAATGCGCAACTGGTTTTTTTTTATTCATGAAACAATGTTCGTATTATATTTTTGAACACCGTAAGAAACATCGAGTATTAATCGCGTACTGCATTGAAAAATTATACACTTTCGAGGATATAGACACATTTATCTTGTTTTTTGTATTAATTAAATTGCACTTATTATAATAAAACATTCTTTAAATTGTTTTTTCACGATCGTAAAATTTATTCTAAAAATAAAAACACATCTTATAAATAAAAAGAGATTATTCGCGAGAACAATGCGAATTTGTGTTTTTGGAACTATATTATGTAATTTTTAATTAAATAGATCTAATAATTGACCTCTTTTAATTTATATTTACGCTCCTCACTGTTTACGACGAGAATTTGCACAATTGTGATATCTTAAATATATCAATTGATTCACATTAAATTGTATGTAATATATGCATGTGTCTTTGGGGAGACATTAGTATATATATATATATATGTCACATAAAGAGCTGTGTGTTAATGTAAATAAAACAAAAATTACTCCTAGTTAATGAGTATCGATACGCGAAATTTGAAAATTGAACTTCGACAATTGTCCGGGGCTCGTCTTTTTTTACCACTCTCGATTCTGTAAAAAAACATTTACGGGGTAAATTGTTTACACATATTTTATCACAACTACTGTAATCTAAATTGCTAGAAACGCTGCTCTCTAAAATTTCGAATCATCATTAGTTCGTCGTGAAAGCGACAAAGCGACCAATAACGAGACATTTCGCTGCTGCGTATTCTGCGGAGGGGGGGGGGAGGGGGGAAAATGAAAGAAAGAGCAACATCTTGCGCCGGTGTTTAATCCTGTTGTTTCTCTCGTCGACGCGAGGCTGATTACCAGTTGATTATCACGTGGTGAGTTCCAGATATCGTTTGTTCTCGATGGAACCGTAACTGTGCGAATAGCGGCCGCTGTACGACGCCCTGGACCACGCTCCGGCTCTATTTGAATAACTGTTGCAAGAGATCAACGAGTTCATCGCATTCGGCCTGTCGATCGGTACACCCTGGCCACGTCCCGTCTGCTGCAGACTGTTGCTCATCGATCGCCCGCTACCGGTCAACGGTGCTCTGTCGTCGATCGTGCCGACATCCGTGTACGGTTTAGGCGTGTGCGAGCAACTGCTCAGAAACACCGCGGCTATAACTCCCTGCGGAAACAAACAAAAGCATTTGACTATTTATCGGGATTATCTTTGTAAAAATAATCATTTTGCATCGTACAATATCCGTTTTTTAATTTGTTGGTTAGTTTGATTTTTTTTTATAGAGATGTAGTAGTTTAATATTTTTTTTAAAGAGATGTTGAGATAAAATAATCACGAACGTACTACAAGCATGTGAAGTAAGACGATGAACATGGAGGCGTTTCTGAAACCGATATTGTCCAGTAAAATTCCCGCAACGCTGGGACCGATGAAAGCTCCGAGGGCGAAGGTGCTCGTCCACAAACCGCTGATGAGACCAAGGGTCTCAAGATTGTTTGGAAATCCGTACGATCTTTTTTAAAAAAAATAGTGGTTTATTTTTTATGATATATCGACATCAATAATTAAGATCTTATATAAATATTTGTGTGAGCGCAAAGAATGTTCTTGCGCGCGACACTCACATGCTCGATCGCAGCGCATCCGTGAAACTCGCAACCAGTTGTGCAGCCATGCCCAAGCCGTGGATCACAAGGCCGAGTATGGTCATCCAGATGATGGTGGGTGACGGAATGAACGGCGCCGGACCGACCAAAGAGAAACCGACCATCACAAGAACGCAACCGGAGACAGTTGCTATCTGAAGAGCATCATATCTTATATTTTTTTTTCTCGACCATATACTTGCGCGATGTATTTGATGTGGTTTTATAATATTTCAGAAAAAGTTAATTAATGCAGTTAATTTAATTACACGGTAAGGTTTCTACGTATAATTGGGGGAAATTGTTTAATCTCGTTACCTACCTTCGGATGCCAGTATTTATCGCACAGCCAGCCCCAGGCTGGAGCTGTGATCGCGTAAGTGCCTCCGTTAATGACGAACATCAATCCCAAAACGACGGGGCTCAAATTGAATTGTCTGAGATGTGGTTCCAAAGTTGCTTGCAAAAATCCAATGCTCATGCTCGTCGCTATTATCGACATCGAGGCAACCATCACTCCCGGAATTTTCAGAACTTTCGTTACTCCTGTAAATCACAACGAAAGTATATAAAATCGAATTATTATTATTCGAACGTTATTCAAAAAGTGTTCGATCGATAATGTACCTCCACCATTATCAGCATCCTGATCATTGTCGTCGTGCACGGGCAGAATGAATGCAGTACTGACAGCTGCCAAGAACAACGCCGAACCAAGGACCACGAATGGAGTGGTGTATCCTCCAATCTAAAATAATTAATAAACACAAATTAAATTAATAATTAATTAAATAAATATGATATTAACGCGTTAACACAATTCGTGTGGATAAAAATAATAATTTTTTTTTTTTTTCGGTTGTAGCTGGGCAAGTGTGAACCATTTGCAGGGTGTTTTGCAATAAATAAATCTGCTAATTTTATTTTCCAAACGTTTCGGCTTTATTTTTAACCTTCTTTAGTGGATTTCTTTATAGAACACTCCCTCCTGATTTATCAAATGACGAACATTTTATGGTTGAATTATAAGTTAAAATAGTTTGTGTCAATTGTAAAATGACATTTGTAAATTGTAAAATGTTCGTCATTTGATAAATCAGGAGGGAGTGTTCTATAAAGAAATCCACTAAAGAAGGTTAAAAATAAAGCCGAAACGTTTGGAAAATAAAATTAGCAGATTTATTTATTGCAAAACACCCTGCAAATGGTTCACACTTGCCCAACTACAACCGAAAAATTTTGAAATATCGTTAAGAACCCATTCAAACCAACAACAATATTATTGTAATAATTATTTTGCTTCTCATTGTATTTGTGAGTAAAGCAAAATTTGCGTACTCTCTTAAAAATGTGTAAGGGTCATCAAATTCAAAATTATCACAAAAAAGAGATACGTTTACCTGATAAAGGGCACCTCCCACGGTGGGGCCCGCGATTAGGCCCAATCCGAAAAAAGTCTCCAGACTGGCAAATGTCGTGGCAACATTATTCGGAAATTCTTTGGCGATAATCGCGAAGCTAGCTGTTAGAAATGCAGCATTTCCCATTGCCTCTATTATTCTGATTACAAACGACAGAATAATGAACGGATAATGACCATTAACTTTGTCCAATAAGCCGAAGAATATAGCGCAGGTTCCTGTGGTCAGGATACCCCCGTGGAATAAAAGCTTCGGGCCTATTCGATTGAGCTGTGAAAAACAAAAATACAAATAATAATAATACGACTCGTTAATTGAAAATAAATCGTCGTATCTCTCGGTCTGGCTTTATTTTTACTTTTAATTTTTTTATATTTCTTGTAAAATTCTCTCGCGCGTGAAAAACTTGCGAGCGCAAGTGGAATGCCGTTCCACGAGCCTGTGGAATGGCAAATCTCGATAATTGATGTTAAGCCTTAAAACATTACTCAGGCTGTAAATTGTGTAGACTGTATAGATTCATATTTATTTACATTTAATTACTATTAATTATGTAGATAAATGCTGTTATTGTAGATATTTGTATTCTTATTTACTTTTTCCACGTGTATTTATTACAAATGTATTTGTTAAAATTTGATCTAAAAAACAAGAAAGAGATTTACACAATCGTGTTAAATAGTATTGAAATAAGCATTTTCGAGATTATAACGTGGGACAAGTTTTATCGCTGTAAGTCTTATCTAAAAGCAATTCGTGGCGTAACGCGGAGATTGTCGAAATTGTGGAGAAGTGCATCGTAAATATAATTTATTTTCAAAAATTGTATCGAATTGCGTCGCTACTTACGTGTTGCCCGTACACCGGGCTAATAATGAACACCACTAGTTCGAATATCCCGAAGACCAAACCGTATTCCGACGGTGATGCACCTTTTTTCTCGGCCTGTAAAAAAGAAAACAAAAACGAAATTTGTTTGTTCGTTCCAATGGGCGTAATAATTTTGCGTATAATTTTGCAAATCCTACATTTTTGTTAATTTGTTGACGGAACAAATTAACAAAATTCGAAATAATTCGGTAATTCAACGTCGAGTTACGCAGCAGTTCGTTATCTGGTCGTTATCTAGTCCTGCACTGCGATAATTAGCTCGACGAGATAATATTTCGAAACTTCGGAGCTTCTCGGCGGTGAGTATTAAACACAAACTAAATTATTGTACGTTGCTATTTGTCTGCCAATTGATAGAAACCGTGTACTTGGACACGTGTTCAGTACGTGGACACGCGTGAAGAAAGATTGCGGCCTTGTGATGTATTTCCAACACGCGTAAAAAATCAAGCGTGAATTAATTTACACAAATGAAAATCAATCATGTTTTTTAAGATGACAAAAAAATAAAATATCGCAATATCATGTTGTGACGTGATAATATGCGATATTGTAACGCTCGTGTAATTTAATACATTCTTGAAACGTTGGAAAATGTTTTATTTAAAAAATGTTACCAAGTTTATTTTATTTAATACTTATTAAAAAATTATAGCAAAGTTAGTGCCGATAATGGTAGATGATTAGTAGCGACGATTGGTAAGAGAAAAATGTTAAATTTGTGATCTAATTGCAAGTTTGCAAACAAAAAGTATAAGTTGTTATTAACTAATTATGTTATTTTAAGTTAAATTTTAAAGATATTTAATTGTTTGACGATGATCAGAAATGATAAGTTTTGTGAGTAATTTAACCACGAAGTGGTAAATAAATTCTGCAATAACACACACATAAGTTTGATAAACACAAGTTTTGCCAATTTTTGTTTCGTTGCAAAAACTATGACTCATAGATTTTATTTTTTTTAAATAACGGGAGTTATTGTTTTCTATACACACATACTCTCTCTTGAAAGAGAAAGAGAGAGGGAGAAGGAGAAAGAATAAGTCATATGTAAAATTCTATTAAAAAAGAAATAAATCGAATATGTCAGAGACTCTTCCTTATCGGAAAGATTTCTTTGAAGAAACGTTAACCTTTGTACTTGTGTAAGAATGATTTGAACTTTGATAAATTCGTCGCCTACGAGAAGACGAGATTAAAAAGCTAACGGAAAAAATTTTTTTCAATTCCGATGTAAGAAACACACTTGAAATTTTATATTGAACGAACAAAAAGCTTTTATAACGGCTGTTGAAAACCACTCGAAATGTTTATTTTTGTTTTTTTTAAATAACAAAAGAATATTATAAAGAGATGAGAATATATTTGTTAAACGTATATTATTATTGATCAAACACGAACGTGTGTGCTGTGTTATTTGCATAACATAAATAAAGTCGGAGCTTATAACAGATTCTGCGAAAATATGTTATTTCGAGTTTAAAGATGTATTCCGAGCGTCGATAATACAAACAACAAATGTAAGATTGACGAATCAATCGCAAGCAGCATCGATTCTTATTACGAAAGGAACGAACAAGAAACAGATAGCGTTTTTTTTTTTTTTTTATATCGTCTTATTGAACATTAACTAGCAATGAAGGAGACGAGAATGGCTATAAATGTTTGATTTATGGCTGCTAACAGTAGACCGTTAAGATAACCCTGTAAGTTTTTTTATAGCAAATGTTTTTGCGCATACGACGCTTAATATCGTGTCTAGCGCAATTTTCATTTTTTATAATAATCGTGAGAATTGATATTGCTCGTGTCGAGGTTTTGTTTTTTTAAACGAAGCGAATATTTATACTGTAAACTTATACAATGATGCTTGTTACTGTTTAACTGATGTTGTTTTATGTTGCAGATGTAAAAATTTCGATTCTTTCGCAATTTTATTTTATAACGAATTAGCTCGAACTTGAACGAGTTTATTCGTTTATTATTTTATTAATGAAAAATTAGGAATCACACGTTAAGCAATTCCGTCGAATATTTTACGTTTCCACTTTTTTGGGCTCTACTTGCTAATCAGTATCACGAGGTTTTTTTTCTCACTCGGTATCATTTCGCAATGATTTATCAGCTAATAAACGCGCTAATAAAGTAATTTTATATAAGAATTTCGTCATGTGTGTGCGGATTTCTCGGCACTACAGTACCAGATGTACTTTATTCGCGTTACGTGCTTCGATTATCTCTCTCTCCTTTTCTTCATTTTTTCGCATATTGGTTTTAAATCCAAGGAAAATGCTATTTTTCTCAAGAGAGAAGACTAGCGCAGAATAATAAAACTAAACTGCGGTGTTTTTTGTGAGTTCTCTCGTTGCCATATTTAAAATTTCTCTCGTTTCGTAACGACAATTGATAAAACTTGCTTTATTTTACAACTGATATTATTCTACTGAAAACTGCGTCTGCGCACGAAATGCGAGAGATTCGAGATCATCTCCTGGTCTCGAAAGTGTTTTTTCGCAATGGAATTTTTAAACTTTAATAAGAGGATAAAAATGAAATATATTTTACATATGTATGAGATGTAAATCATCACTTACATAAATTTTTTAATTGAATTTAATTCAATTTAATCTTTATGTATATATTACGTTTAAAAATATATATTTTTTTACGCATAACATATACATATATATTATATATTATTTATATATAATATATGTGTATATATTATATATATTATTACAATATATTTTTATAATATATATGTATATATTATGCGTATTAATTTACGTTGAATATATAAATATATATATATTTGCACATACATCCGGCATATTGGCTCGAACCTAATATTTAATTGAACATTTCACGAGCTTTTATTATCGTGTTGTAATATATTACACAAATGTTTTCTCATATCCTTCATTATTGTAATGTTGCCGAGACGACGCGCTATAAACTTGATAATCATTACTATTGTCGCGCGACTACCTTGACACGTGACTACAATCACGTAAACATTTTTTCAAATGCAACGTAGACACTCTAGAAAGTTGACAAAAATTATTTCGAACAATTTAAATAACAATATTCGTATTCCGTAAAAAAAAAAGATTTATTACAATTATTCATTTGAGTCTTTACCTCTTGAGGATAAAACGGAGCTTGCAACGAAACGCAAATGGCATTGGCGAAGTCGGCGATACTGATGACAATCAAGGTGAGCCATTGTCGTTTGGTGAACTGAGCGATTGCCATTCTAGACGCACTTTCTTTTTTTTTTTTTTTTTTTTCACACTCTTTTTTCACAAATTTCGCGCAACACAAGTAAACAAATTACAACTTCCCCTCCCGAGACGAAAATCGATTGTTACTAATCGCGAATTTACGACTTAGGGAAAGTAACACGTTTCGACTCTCGTCGACGACTACGCTTGTCACTCTTATACGGTAAATAATACACACTTATATCGCTAGTTTGAGTACGCAGCGCGTCGTTTCTCGATTTATTCGATTTCGTTTGCGCAAGCGAACGAGCGTTTTAGGTCCGTTCTACAATACAGTCGTAAGCTGTAAAATGTGAGAGATCGCGACCAATTGCAGATAAATAACGAAAGAATAATTGATTGCGATTGGTCAATTTCTTACGACTCACAGCTTGCGGATTGTATTGTAGAACAGGCCTTTACCATGTACGCGGCACGAGGCGTCGTCATTTGCTCTAAGACAGTTTATTTTTGAGGAGTCTTGGAAGAGAGGAAACAGGTCAGAGGTCGAACGCGATATTATCCTACCACCGTGCCTTCTCTAATTCATTATCAGCCGCCGGCGTCTCGCGCGCGCGCGTGCGATGGGGCGAGCGACCGGCGCGCCGGAGCCGATTTAACCCCGTTCGACGTGTCGGGAGAGAGTGTCGGCCTATCACCGTTTTTCATTGCTCTCGTTCGCGCGTACGTGTGCAAAAGCGCTCGGAGAAAAATTATTTCTAAAAAAAAAAAAATGTAAAATGTGCAATTTGTTTTATATTTAATCTTTTTTTTTTTTTTCCAATCTGCAAGGACCGGGTTCGAGAAAAGAACCAGTGATGATATTTTTTTGTATCGACTTTGTTGTGTTGTATTAGATTATAATTTTTTACATATATATATTTTAAATACAATACAAACACATAACGCTTGTATTCTTGAAATTTGACGAAGAAACTATTTACTCTCGGATGATATGTATAAAGAAACGGAAGAACTTTTTTTGTTGTTCTTGTGATTACGCACCGATCTTATCTTTCTAGGAGATAGGTCTTATCGAAGTCGTTAGAAATTCTAATGGATTACATATTTACGTATCTTCAAATACATGTTTTCAATACAACTTTGTTCTGTCTTCCTGTGAAACTTGTTTATCAGTTGCAATTCAATTTTAAAATTTACAAAGTATATACTACTGTATATCTATATCTAGAATTATAACGTATAATTTTTTCGCGCTCGACTTCGTACTACCGTCATCATCAAACAAACAAAAATGTAACATAGATTTTAAAGCTACGTAGAAGTAACAAATTTAAAGCTACGAAGATCGCAATATGACGTTTTTTCGATATAAAATTAAATATTTTCAATTTGCTTTACACTAAATTAAAATCTGTTAGTGTTGTAACAAACGCAACTTTTAATTAAGTTTTTTTTCGACGCGTGATCGTATTCGGAGAAAAACTCACATCGCAAAGAAATCTTCACACGTTACTTCCGCTACTCGCGCTTGTAATACTATTTTACTATTTTAATATCGTGTACTCGCAATTAGTTTTTTTTTGTTTTTTTCCTGTATACATGTGCACGTTTTGTACTTTATATTGTTACACATAATAAAAAAAAAAAAAAAAAAAAAATACCATTACATGTCGTGCATCCAGACATTAAGCGGTCTTTTGCTGAAAGCCATGTTCATGAAAGTTTTTAACACTTTGGAGATGCTGAGATTCGCCGCCGGTTTCAACTCCTCGATTATCTCTTTGGCGTTCTGATTCAGAAATTGATTTAGCGCCTGGCCAAGCACGTTGTCGCCGTTCTGTTTGTCCATTATGCGGAATTTTGCCCGGCTGAGTTCAAAGTTAATCAGCACCCGATTGAATATCATGTAACGCACGCCGTTCTTCACCTCTTCCACACCTTGAGTGCGAATCACCAGGTTCATGTCGTCTAAACGGAAATATATATATGTAAATTAAAACACTTGTCATTTTTATGTAATCTAGCAATTTATTTTGGTATGTTTTTATATTTACCGAATACCGCCGTGAAATCTCCCTGGCTTTGTATGGGGAATAGTAAGATGTTACCGTTGATATCATACTTGCCCTGAAGCTCCAGTTTGGGAATCGATAAGTAAATATCGAATCTGTAAGCTGTTATATTCATTCGCACTTTGTGAACGGTGTAATTGCTAAGTCCCATCACGGTAACGTTGCCGAAATACGCCACGATGCGCACCGGACCCTGACCGTTTTCCATCTTCACTTCCGGTACTGTAAGCGGCTCGATCGGAGGTAAATCCAATTCTGGAATACCTGTGAAAAAAAATGTTTATGTTAATTTCAATGTTTGATTAAAAAATTTTGTAATGTAATTCTACATCTTGACCCTCGTTTACGCCGTATATTAAGTGTGTGTTGTTCTTAGTTCTGAAGTCTCATTCTAATTATTCAGTTTTATCTCAATCGTATTGAAAGTTATTTTTAGCCTACAAGTAGCAGAGATATGTGTGTTACAAGAAACAGAAAGGAAAGATTGAACAAAGAATAGAGAAAATAAGCTGTTCGCGGAAAGAAACGATGTTTTCTTTCTTTTTTAGATTAGAAATAAAAACTGAACTTCGAGAGTTTCTTGTGGGAAACCAAACAGCCAGATCTGGTTTATATAAATCGCAATTCAAATGTTGAACAGTCGCGTGATAAACAAAACGACGCGCGCGGATTGGCTGTACGAAATTTTGCAACCACGTGAGAAACGATGCCGTAATAATACGAGGTCTTAGTTTCCGACTCTCAATGTTTGTCGTTACATAAAGCGCCATTGTAAATCATTGTACAAATTTTCGCGATACTTACCAAGCAAGTTCCGACGAAAGTTTACGGCACGCGCTTACGACATTAGAATGTGCGCTTTATGTAACAATCGGTAGTTGACGGTATTCTTTCTATACTCGCAGAAGACACTTCGTTAATTGATTTGCGTTGCATTTTAATCAGTATTACATAAATTTAATTACAAAATTGTGTGTGTGTGTGTTTTTCGATTTCTTTCAAGTGAATTAGATTTTTGCTGCGTGATAAATAAATGTAAGTATACACATAAATACCTCGATAATTTGTCACGGTCTCAATTTATTTGTGCCGGGACGGTTGTAATTTTATAAAACTATAGTTCCGCAAATTAAACGCGATGCAAAAATTTATTTGTGTGGCCGGGACGGTTGTAATTTTATAAAAAAACTAGTTCCGCAAATTAAACGCGATGCAAAAAATAAAAAAAATATCATGGTGGCAAAAGTGATAACATATATTAGAACGCGAAGTATCTATCGCGTTAACCGGTTATAAATTGCTTGAAAATTTTCCTGCAACTTTGCAAGCAGTAAAATACTTCGACAATTTTGATGAATCACAACGCGCGCGATTTGCTCGCGATATATGACACACGCGCGTTTAATACTCACCTTTCACTAAGTACGGCTTGACATGCATAAGCGTGTTAAGAAAGCAAGAGTCGATCTTTGGGTCTTTCCTGCTGCATGGTAGTAGATACTCGGCTGCAAAAAAAATTCGTTGAGATGCGTAAGCGATTGCATTATGTAACACGAGCATTATATAATTAATAATACGGTAATATAGTAATGACACACAACACAAGTGTGTTAAGCAACTGATTAATCGTGAAATTTTACAGTCAACGCGCATCCGATATTTTATCTTCCTCACAAACGTCTTTTTTATTTTATTTATTATGATTAAATATATGTATATTTTATTTTTCTCTCTTATACTGTGTTTCGAATGATCGAAATGATATATTTACATACTTCTCAGGATGTTGACCTGACGCTTTTGAAGACGCGCAAGTTTGTTGTCGTAATTTTTATTGTTATTTTTTACTTACGTTAATAAAATAAATTAAACATTTAAATTGCTTCATGAAAAGTGTAGTCTCCATTTGTTGAGAGAGATTATCTTATTTATCAGTTTTTATTTAATATGTTTGTTTCTACTGTTCATTATTTCTCACGCAACATTGCATAATTGTATTATAATTGTACTTATAAATAATATTTTAATTATCATTAACTGATAATTACAATAATAAAGTTAAAATGATAAATTATTTGCAATTTGTTTTTATAACTATGTATAATTGATGAAGTTTTATGCAAAGTTATATAAATTTATTCAATGCTAATATAAAACGAGGACACGATTAAGTCTTCTGATTTCAATTATTCTTCGCGTTATTATCCTGCATATTATTATCAACTATTATTTGTTTACACTCTAACTATCGAACAAAACTGTGACTAAGAAGTAATTAACCATTTCCTATTTGAAAGAAGTAGCTTAACATTAATTTTTTCTGATCGTGTTTTACATTAGTGATTAATGTGTTATAATGAAGCGTTTCAAGAGAGAAAACAAATCTATTCCGCGCTGTGTTTCACGCTTTTCCTGCTTTTTTTGTTGCGTAATTATCTTCGGTGATCTCATAAGGCTAACCATTGATCAATGCCACTTTACCTCAGATCCAAGAAATATACGTTGAAATAAGAAATATTTACGATTGCTTTTTTAAATGAAGCAAAACACGTTTTTATATGTTTTTTTCTTACATAAAATTTCTCTATTGACAACGTATCATTTATTTTACCTGCAATTTATGCATTTAGTTTACGTACAATGTATCATTTATTTTATCAAAACCATCATTTGAGTGACGCAAAAAGTTTTTATGTTTTTCTATGTCTTATACATAGAACTTCTCTATTGACAATTTACTATTTATTTTACATCAAACAGTCATTTGAATTTGTAATGTTCGAATTGTTAATACGTTATTTTTGATAATATTTGGATTTTATTTTAAACAACGTGCGCAAGAGACACATGTTTCGTAATATATGTATATATATTTATATATATATATACGATGCATAACAAGCAAGTGTTAAAAATTTTTTGCCAACAATTAATTATTTCATGTCTGTCGAAAGAAGTATTAATCTTTAGACCGCCGACCTATAATACCGTGTAGCATCGCTATGAGAACACTAATATTATACCTAGTATTTTAAAAAAGAATTCACTTTCATCTGACTTGATTTGTGAAGAAAAAAATACTTTAGAAAATCTAAATATGTTGTTGGATAGTTTAGCTTTCGAATTCGTAATCTAAGATACAAAATTTATTTGTACATGATTAGCTTAGTAATAATGCTATGCTGTATTGAAAAATGTATTGAAAAATGTTTTAAATATTCGACTTCATAAACGTAATTAGCGACTTCTAGAAACATTATTTTTCAAAAGTGATTTGAAAATTTTATAAATTTTCACTTCCATTCCTCGCCGGGCTGGCGTTGATCAAAGCCAGGTAAAACCGAAGGCACTTCACGCAATATAATAAACTCAATGTGCATACAAATATTGCAGAAAAAATACGTGAAAAAATGCGGACGGTCTGAAGGTTAAAATATATATTCATGTATATTGACTATATATATATTCATATATTCAATATTTCAATATTGGCTCGGGAATATAAATAGGTATAATAGTAGGTATAATAATAGGTATTTAGTTAAGCAATAAAATACATTTAAAAAAATCTTACTGAATAAATTACATAACTTTTGTGTGCGTCATTCTCTCTCAATGTCTTATATATTAATCACAGTAGCTCTTGATATTATGAATATAGTTTTGTAATCCGATGTCTTGACTATATTAAAGTCTTAAAATATTAAATATGACGTCTTGATTTTTATAATATTTTATGATACTTCTTTTTAATTTTTTTACATTAACAAGCATATATCACATGTGAGAGATTTGCGTCGAGTATATAAAACTGTTGTCTCTTTTAAGATGCTCGTTCTAACACGTCCATCTACATTTCTAATAAAACAAAAAGAACTGAAGTGAGACGCGATTGGGAAAAGTGACATAAGTAAAAAAAAAAAAAACCATTTCTCTGGTCACGCTAACTCGTGACCTTTACGTAATTAAAATCTATGTCAAACGTAGACGCGGTAGTCTTTTTGTGCTTAAGATGTTACGTCTCGCTTAGGAATCTGGATCACTTGTCGCATCATCAACCGAGATATTACGTCGTCACTTTCACTCTCGAGACTCCCGCGCGAGATGGAAGACAATGAGAGAGAATAAAAGATAAGTTACAAGATTTCTTCGGCGTTCTTTTTTTATACTTCAACAAGTGTAAGGAAAACAACATAGTATCTCTTGAAATTTTGCTCTTGGATGTTTGCAAAAGAAAATTATTGAGTTAGAACTCAATAATTTTCTGTTGCAAACATCCAAGAGCAAAATTTCAAAAGATACTATGTTAACTAATACGAAACTAGTTTTAATGAATTCCACGTTGATTTTTCCAACTCTGTTTTCGAGAAGAATGTTTTACAATTAAGATGTTTATCGCGCGACAGTACGTTCAAAAGTTTAATTCCACGATGTAGAAAAGTACCGTCTATAATACTTCAGACTCTGGTTTATCAGCATTTTACTGATGTATAGAAGTAAATAAGTAGTTTTATTATCAAAGAGTTCGTAAACTCCTTTTTGTCGCCGATGCAATAAACTTTTAGTAGTCGGCGCATCACATGAATAAACTACTTATTCGGATAGACGCATATCAGAACTCGCAACATTGCGCGCGTCTAATCAAATCTGTCATTTTGCAGACAAAAGTGGTAAAATGACTTTTCAATTTCAATATGAAGATCAATTCATAAAAGTACAGTACTAAAAAAAGAGCAACACTAAAACAGTAATAAAAAAAAAGGTTTAAATGCAATTTCAAGTACGACGGAGAGAAAAAATCACGCAAAAAGTGGCGTGTCAAGATCCAGATATGTTGTGGCGAAGAGCGATTGTCGCTGTTACCTAACCGTATCTCATGAATCAAGTCGGGAAATATTGCAATTTTTTCGTGCTTTTATTTTGACAACTAGACCGTCGATAATTCTCCATTTTTTAAAATAATATATTTATACGTTGGTAATCTATCGCATTTTAGTTTTTTTTATCAATGTCGCAAGTATAATTTGCCACCTAGATTAAAAAATGTGACTTTTTCAACGGGCTTACGCGTATATAACATGCGTGTCACTTACAAATTGCAATTATCTCAGCTTTGGAGAACGATTAGAAATTTTACGAAGCCCTTTGCTTAATACAAATAGTGGAATTAATTCGAATTTGGAGGAGTTTGCGTACAAAAATCGATTTTGCGCGACAGATATATTTTAAAAATGTATTTTCTTCTGAAAATAACTAGAATAAGGCGAAAACGTCAGCTCTTTTCTCCTTCTTTTAAAAAGAAAGCTGTGTTATTTTAAATGCGTAAATTCGATTCCAACATTCATCTTCAAGACAAATCGCACTTCGGTATCGCAAAGCGTACGAAGCCGAGAATCGACGGTACTTGGTACATGTCGTTGCTGCCTTTAACCCGGTACTTTCTCCAAACGATTACCGTCTATCCTCGACACCAGGAATTACGTAATCTCTGACATAACCTTCGCCATGCTGAGAAATGTTACGCCACGTTCCGAGACATTTATATTGAGGTAAGAGCGGGCCAATGTGAGCGCGTGTGTTGTTCGGTGTCGCCTTCGTGTCGCGTTTGGATACGTGAATTAGCTTGTCAATCCGTCTGGCACCAGTTACGAGCCAAAGAACTAAGAGTGTTGAACAATGAGAAGCGAATAAACAAAGAATAAAAAAAGCGAGAATATTAACGAGGATTAACACGGTAAAATATGGCGATTTTTTAATCGAGATACTTTTTTTTTCGCAAATTTAGGGAAATAATTTTCTGAAATGTGTTTCCAAATAAAATATTTGCACAATTTTTGAATTACTGTTGCAGCAAATTGCAGTATTGTCTCACAGTTAAATTGTTGTATACTAATTGTATCATTGTTATCTTATGAATTGTTACATGAAAAAGTTGTTGTGTGTGTTAACTCAATAGAATATGAGCAATCGTGATCGCGGAAAATATGCTGGTGTAATCAAACGAGACAACGAGCTTCCGTCTCGTAATCACACACTTACAATCATTGTTTGTTTTCTTTCGCGTTGCGACGAAAGGGAAAGGCAGATACGCTCGAGATGTTCGGCGGGAAATGCGAATATAAAAGTGCGACGTGAGATTACGCGCGCGACTATATAATTATCTCATATTAATTTCTTTTTCAATGTGCTATTTATAGGCTCATAAGAAAATTAAGTAATGAAAAACTAGAGATTAAGGTTCGAAAGATAATCAGCTAATTTTTTAATTTTGTATATTAGTAATTACCGAACAAATTCTTTCCAGAAATGCGTGCAAGAAAGTATCGCTTCTTTTCCATACTAGGTTTAAACTTTAAACTTTTTTTTTTTTTATAAACTATTGCATAGTATCTTAAAATTGCAATTATTTTGAAGAAGTTCTTCTTACACTTGTAGAAGTAAAATTATTATTATCACGAATGACAATTTGTTCACATTGTATTGTAAACAATACAATGGGAGAAAACAAATTTTTGACATTTCTATTAACATTGTATTGTAAACAATACAACATTGTTTACAATACAATGTAAATAGAAATGTCAAAAATTTTTTTTGTAAACAATACAATGTAAATAGAAATGTCAAAAATTTTCAAATATCGGCACAAGTGTTAAATCTTGTTTTTTTTAGACAATTATATTTTTTTACTTGTTTTTTTTTCTCACAGTTGAGAATTGAAACAAAGTTTAGCGCGCGCACAAGGTGCAGCGTCGTGTGACTAATAAATATTGGCATCGCGCTGTCGATGACTAACAAAGTCATCAGCTGCATAATAAATACAATTCAATCGTGTTTAATCTTCCATCTTTTAACAAGGCTGAGGCCACGGCCTGTGACTGTCAGAATTTAAAGAAACTTATTATTTTAATTTTGCGATATTCTTACGAGTTTCAAATTCCGGTTCGTTAAGCCCGGTTGCGGTCTCCGTGACGTTCTGATCATCGCAGAACACCAAGAAAACGCAGCAGAATCCCAGAAGCAAAACGAGATTTATTCTTGCGGACGACATCCTTCTCTCTTCTTGGAAGGAAATATGACACTCGTCACTTTCTCGTTCCGACTATCGTCTGCAAAAATGCAAACAAATAATCACGAAAATCGATCGGTCTTCTCGCGAGAGAGAAATGACTTTTTACGAGGCACTTTGATCGACGATCGTGGTTTATAAATGATCAAACAACTTTTCTTTTCACGGAAGTCGAACGAAGAACATAATCGCGCGTTACTTAGAAATCAGAAGTGGGATCGAAGACACGGGAAGAAGAAAGATCGAAACCGCCGACACCTGGATGGCTACTTTGTGATAAACTAAGAACGGGACCCCTTCATATTCTGTCTTATATGCACGGGGGTACCCCCTACTCTGAAAGCACTTACTTCTTATTCGCCGCCGAAGTCGCGACTACTTCTTTCCACATCATCTTTCTCATTATAAAAAAAAATACTCGACGATATTGAAATTTGCATAATAGATATACAAAGTTCTACTGAACTTTGTTAAACGCTATTATTTATATGATGAGTAGAATGATTGAATTGAAAAATAGAACTGATCTTTGAAACGCTTCGTCTTGTTTTATTGCTCGTTACTTTCTGAAATGTTTCTTCAATTGAATTTGTTCTGTTTCTTATCTGTAAACACATTTTTTTATAATCATCTATAAATTAGGTAAAAAAAAAAACTCTCTCAGTATGACAAGACAAATGATTTTTCTTACAAGGATATAAATAATGTAGACGAGTAAGTGAAAAAATATGTTTGTCATGTGAATAAATAGTAATTTAGATAAACAAAAATGATGATTTGATTAGAGAATAAAAAATCGAGTTGTTTATACATAGAACAATATGTATCTTGTATTTATAAAAGAGACAGAAAAATAATTATTTCCGTTTTGTTTTGCTGCTTGCACGTTACTTTCTGAAATGTTTCTCAGGCATCAATTAATTTTCTTCTTACTTGCAAAAACATTTATGATTATCTGTCTATCTATAAACTATCTATAAATTAAGTGAGAAAAAAATCTCTATGACAAGACTGTTTTAGTATGACAAAAGAAATGATTTTTCTTACAAAAATATAATGTAGACAAATATGAAGTAAGTAAGAAAATTAGGTTTGTCATATGAATAAATTATTATTTGGATAGACAGTAATTTGATTAGCGCATAAAAAAACCGAGTTGTCTGTACATAGAACAATATGTATCTTGTATTTAAAGTTAGAAGAAGACAGAAAAATTATAATTACTTTATATCTAAATTTTTTATATCTAAATAATAATATTTTATATCTAAATGTTATGTAAATTTTCTATTTGAATCATCGTTGCTCGATCGATAGTTTGAAGATCATATACACGTTGAACTGCGAAAACAATAAAATCAATTAGACCGTTTTTATTCAGCAACAGTCAAAAACCTGATTGACCGTGACTATTTAATGTTCCATTGTTCTCTGAAAAATTTTAACCTCACCATTGCGCTTCTCGAATTAACTAGGGCAATATACAATACGACTTAGGTACTCAAAACTGCAACACTATCCAGTTTAACATAAAAAACAAACCAACAGCTTAATTGTGCAAAAAGCATTCGACGCATTCCTTAACATATTATTGAAACTATTTAATTATTATCAAAGACACGATTATAAAAAAGAAGCGAGAAAAAGTGTTTCATTATTAAGAAAAAAACATTTAATTATCTGTTAACTATACTTAATATCTCGCTTGGAAATTTACCAATGAACGTTCACATGCGTCGATATTCATACCGCGTCATATTACATTATTGACGTTAGATAATTACCTTCGAGGAAATCGCTAATACCAAAAGTGTAAATGATATTAGTATTATTTACTTTTTTCACATTCTTACAAGTGAATATACAGCGCGAAAAATAACACAATTACGGGTTGAGGCAACTGAAAATGATCTTAAAACGATTGCGAAAAAATCTCGTAATTATAGAGTGGAGGAAGATTCTGTTGACAGAATTGCGCGCGACGTGGGATTAGAAACAAACACCATTAGTACACGGAAAAAAAGAAAAAAAATGAGGTTGAATCAACAGTATCAGTTTAATTGAAATATATATTCTGTTGATGCTACATCAATATTATTATTGCACTGTACACACAGCAGATAGTTGCTCTAAGAATCTAGACATTAAATTAATTGCATATGCAAAATGAATAAACTATTTATTGTTGTGGCAAGCCCGTGACGTCAAGTTTAATTGAAGCAACTTTTTTTTTCTGTGTAGTTTTTGCATAAGATGACGTACATATAAAATCAAGTTTCAAGAACAAGAATCGCGCTTGTTTGAAAAAAAAAAAATGTGTGTAATTATGATAAAAATGTATTTCCGCACAAATCGCTCGGCACAGATATCTTGCATGTGGCGCCGTGTTTCATCGTCTCGCGGAACCTTCTGACAAAGCCTGAAAGATGATTATCGAATATACGCGATTACGGTAACGGCTGACGGTTCGAAGGAACTTCTGAATCGCAGAAATATACGAATTAACAGTTGTGCACAAAGTTGAAAAAATAAGTTTCCTTGCTTTTAAATTTTTTTGCTGAATTTTGCTTAATTGTTTTTTCTTTACCTTGCGCGCTGCGTAATTGCTGGATATATAATGTGCAAATTCGCGTCGAATTTTGTTCTGTCTGCGAAGCGAAATACGAATGTATGTGCATTTGCAAAAAATGACCTGGATACACAAATTTCCACATCCGAGTGTTCTCACACTCGAAATGGCATTTAAACAATCGATGCTGTTTGCGACACGCCGTAGAGCAAAAGCACCGACTTTACGCTGCTCTGTACAAGATCGTATCAACCATTTGAGTTTGCATTTTGAAACTTGTGCATTTTAACAGAATCTCATACAGTTGGGATTGTAAAATTGTGCCGAGAATATCCCGAGTCGAAATTTAGCGTCTACATTGAACCTCAATTTTTCTTTTTTTACGTAGAAGTAAGAGAGAAAGTTAGATTCTACTTTGACGCTGCTATGTGTCCGAAATTTCCTTTTTTCCTGCTAAAGTTTTAAAGTACGGGTTCAATTCTCAGATCAGACTGCGCATTGAAAGCTCTGATACAATGAAAACATTATATTCTCGTAAGTAGAAGATTTTATACTTAAAAAATCTTAAAGATTTTAGATGATATTCTTCTGAAATTAAGAATATATTCTTAATTTCAATATAGTTTATATAATTTTAATATAATATTATATAATTTCAATATAATCAATATATGATATTTTAATATCAAGAATATATTCTTAATTTAAATTAAGAATATATTCTTTATTTAAGAATATAGTCTTTTTCGATAGTGATATATATGTTTTTCTATAGAGGCTTTTTATATTCTAATCAGTATATATTCTTATCAATATTACTATTTAGAGGATTTTCCTCTTAAAATAAGAAACTCTCCTTGGCGCCTATTTTAGTATAAAACATACTTAAAGTAAGTGGGATATCCTCAAAACAAGAATACAATTTTTTCGGTGTAGGCTCAAAGTAGAAGTAAGAAAAAAAGTAGATGCTACTTTGACGCTGCTATAAGTCCGAAATTTCCTTTTTTCTCAAAAATTAAGGTTCGATGTAGACGCTAAATTTCGACTCGGGCAAGTTCTTTATTATCGGTATCTCATTCAATTCTTTCACGTAGACAAACAAAAAATAGACATAAGATAAAACAAACGCCAGTATAAAAATAAATAAAAAATTATATATATACAGCACGCACAATGTATTCACGGCGGCAGCAACGTGTCCAGTGGGAACTTGGCGTAGATCTTGTTCGCGAACGTCTTGAAGAGTTCTGAAACCGTTTCTTCGAGAACTGGTTTGATTTCGGCCAGCACAATCTTCCAGTTGTTGTTCAGAAACAGATTCAAGGCGGTGGACAAAGTGCCGTCGCCGTTGAACAGATCGTTCAGCTTGACATTCGCGTGTCCAACCTCGAAGTCCATATAGAATTCGGTCACGCGCAAATGGGTCTTGCCGGTTTTTCGGGACTCGTAACGCTCGGCCTGAACGGTGACCAGAGCGTCGATGTTTGTGAAATTTCCGCACGCCTCCCCGTTCCCTCTTACAGGCAACATCAGGATCTTCCCGTGCATGTTGTATCGCGAGGTCATTTCGAGACGCGGCAGGTACAGTTTCAATTTGATGAGGTTCCGATCGACGTCAATTCTAGAAACGGCAATTTTCAGACAAAAGATAAAGTCAAGTAAAATAACAAACAGTATCTAAAAAGAATTTGTGACAAATTATGGCACAAAAAAGTTATTTTTAATTATTTTAATCTTTAGAATCAAAATACTTTTGAGCTTGAGAAAAGTTTTGGATTTTTTTCTATCGCTATTAAGCTTACTTAATGTTCTTCAAGATGAAATTCGTTCCACCTTGAATCTCGATGTCGGTGTACACCGCCTCGATGGAAATCGGACCGGACATTTGATTGATCTCGATCCGCGGCACGTGAAGCGGCTCGCATGACGGTATGTGCAGCTCCGCAATACCCGTCTTCAAATACGGTCTTAACGAGTCCACGCTTCGTCTTACGCACTCGTTCAGATTCGGATCGTTGCGGTGACATATCTTCAGAAACGACGCTGAGAAAAAAAAACGACGAATATGCAACGTTTTGGAAATTGCGACAATATTCAATATGAATTTTGCCATCAATGCGACAGACACGTTTTGTGAAAAACATATAACAGATCAAGTGGTGTTAGACGCTTTTATTTGATAAAACGCTTATATTTTTTTATTATATAACTAATAACTATTATATAACTATTATATAATAATATTTTTATATTATATTTTATATTATAAAACGCTTTTATATTTTATTTAAAAACAGAAAACAATATTACTTACAAATTTCTCGAGATCCCGCAGAAGACACGAGGGCGGTGACTAAAACTAAAACCGCGACTAAATCTGCGCTAAGACGCATTGTGAATGAACTCCTCACGTGAAATGAAACAATTCTCGTTGCGTCCAACAATGTTGAGCAATTAATTTAAATTGAAAGAATCGACGAAACGTCGCCGATTATGCAAATTTTAAAACACAACCTCGCCGTTCCCATTTTTATTATGCGGCAACTATAATATGCTTGTTCAGCGTGAAACGGCACTTGCACTCGTTTTCGCGATATCGTTAAATTTCGACTGACGAATGAAAAATTGAAACAAAAAATTAATAAACAATTATGACTTAAGGCTCGTTGAAATTAATAACAAGAAATTGTATAAGGCCTTACGAGCCATTTGCAGGATGTTTAAACGGAAACTGTGCGTGTATATATATATATATACATGTAACGAATTCAACTTGTAAATTTTTACAAGTGAATGTTTTTTTAATTGAAATCTCAATTCTTTGAGATTTCTTATTTTACTTATATACAAACGTATATATAATTAAATTCTAAATTTAATGCACTTACTCTGCCAAAATAATATTAGATAAATAATTTAAATAATCAAGTCCTTTTGTGCAAAAATTAATTAATTCTAAAATAGATAGAAACCTATCTGGCTCACGCCGATCTGAACTCAAATCATGTAAGATACTACAAGTCAAACAGACCTATAAATTATAATTCTTTTTATAATTTAAAAAATCTTCTTATAATTAAAGAAATCTCAAAGAATTGAGATTTCAATTAAAAAAACACTCACTCATGAAATCTCAATTCTTTGAGATTTCAATTCAAAAAACACTCACTTGTAAAAATTTACAAGTTGAATTCGTTACATGTGTATATATACACCGAAAAAATTGTATTCTTGTTTTGAGGATATCCCACTTACTTTAAGTATATTTTATACTAAAATAGGCGCCAAGAAGAGTTTCTTATTTTAAGAAAAAAATCCTCTAAATAGTAATATTGATAAGAATATATACTGATTAGAATATAAAAAGCCTCTATAGAAAAACATATATATTTGATATTTGATGCTTTCGCGGTGTGTAGTATTAACATACAAAGATGTTTTTTCGGGTTTGAACCGCGTTAGTGTCATTTTTATACCGACGTTTCGTGAACATTACAGCTCACTTCATCAGGGTTTGAAGAGCAGCCTGATACTGTATCAGCCTGATACTGTTTCAGCCTGATACTGTTATATATCAGGCTGATACAGTATCAGGCTGATACAGTATTAGGCTGCTCTTCAAACCCTGATAAAGTGAGCTGTAATGTTCACGAAACGTCGGTATAAAAATGACACTAACGCGGTTCAAACCCGAAAAAACATCTTTGTATGTTAACATATATATATCTCACTATCGAAAAAGACTATATTCTTAAATTAAGAATATATTTTTAATTTCAGAAGAATATCATCTAAAATCTTTAAGAAGATTTTTTAAGTATAAAATCTTCTACTTACGAGAATATAATTTTTTCGGTGTATATATATATACGCACAGTTTCCGCTCAAACATCCTGCGAATGGCTCGTATCTAAGGCCTTATATATTTCTCGTTATTAAAAAACTAATAACTCAAAATTTGCAATTGTAATTTTCTCTTCTTTGTATAATTCTTTGAAAGAGATTTTTTATTTCTCTAAAAAATATATATTTGGAGTTGCTTGAGGGATAATTTCTATTTGCGACGGTTCTGGCCGTAATTGTGACGGAAGGTCGTCCGAAGAACCTTGCTCTCCATTACATCATCGTGTAATCGAAGAATTTAAGGAATAAATCGTCGTGCGCGCATCGTACATATCGACGTCTAACTAAGAGCCACTTTGGTCTCTATCCGTCCGTGGCCCAGATCCTCTGCGTCCTTTACACGATCGGCTTATAAAAGCCTTTTGCGAGCGCATCGCCAACTTGCAGTCGATAGATCAAACTCGGTGCGTTTAGACATTGTGCTTGTTCTTCGATTATCGCAACGAATCCTCATCAATCTTTGTCACGATGTCGCTTGAAATAATCACACATCCGACGAGACGCAACGTATGTTGAACCAAATGCTGTTCTGCGTGATCGTCACGTGCTTTTTGCTGATACTTGTCGTCATCGCCATTGTGCTCGTGTTGATCTACAAGCCGACCTACGTGTGGAAGATCGACGTGCCTTATTGATCATCTCGAAACATTTTTTATTTTTTTTTTTTTCTAAACAAAAACACAAGATCGATATTCTTATCGCAACGAAAAATTCACTGCCCGAAAAATTTGTGAATTTTAATTTGTAAAAGAGAATTGTCAAATTAATTAATTGCGTGAGACAAAATGGCGAGAACATCGCAGAAGACTGTTTTTCACGCGCTTCTGATAATCTCGACGATGACTCTCGCAAGATGCGCGTTGCTGGAGATGTCGCGAATGCTCTGGAACAAGACGGTGTCCGGAGGTTTGACGAAAATCGGCAAACTCGATCCGTTGAGGATACCGCTGATCAAAGTGGACCAGTCCGAGGGCAACGCCACGTACAGAATGATCCTGAGAAATTTGGAGATTGCCGGTCTCAACGAGTCCGTTCTGGAGAGCATCCACGTGATCCGCGGGGCGCTCAGGTCCAACCCGAGCGAATCCGAGACCGGCTACGTGAGCTACAGCGATCTCAGGGACGTGGATTCCGTCGGGTACAGATTCCACACAGCAACGAGAGAACCGAAAGAAAATTTCGAAACAGTGGTTTCATCCGTAAGCCAGCGGACTCGCGCCGACGTATTCAGACCGTCCTCGCGCTATCAGGATCGTCTCGACGGACGATTGCGGCAGAATCAACAGGACTCCAGAATATTCGAGCAAAATCGGCATTACGATCGACAGTTCTTCCGACCCGATACATCGTCCGACGGCGCTTACAGAAGCGATTTTATTAAAACGTCGGGCGATCACGAGACGAGATCTTCTGAGAGATTTGAAAATTTCAAACGCCCGACTTACGTCCAGCCCCTCGTTTACGAGAAGCAGAGAACGGGAGACTTCCAGAATTATCGAGGAAACTCGCGAACCGAAGACGCGATCGATTGCGACGATTCGAAGAATGCGCGGTACGAAGAGACGAGTCTGAGAGACAACCGGCAACACGGATCGCGACAAGATGCCAATGGCAGACGCCACGAGGACGTTGAGGTTCGAAAAGCGTTTGCATAAAATTAAGCTCGCGTGTAACTCGATCTCTTTCTTTCTCCGCTTATATTATATAAACTCTGTTGCGTTACACGGTAAATTATATCAGTTCGTATTGCAATATATACATATATTACGCGAGAAAAACAGTCTGTGCATTTTAAAATCGTGCGATAGTATGCAGTTCTCAATCAATCTAACTCGGTAACTTTCAAAGCCGATTTGTGAAACAGGTTTCTGCGTCGGAAACAGTTGAAACTAGGTTGAAAAACCGAGCCGATGCGAGATCGCCTGCCTTGTATAACAGAGAAGAACCGAAGTCTTCGGATCTCGCAGCCTCGGGCAATGTTAAGTTACCGAAAACGACTCACGGAATTACGGAGCGACCTGGTTTCATCGATATCATCTACACGGGTGACAAGGCCGAGAATTCGAAACGTTTTGGCAACTTCGGCGCCGATTCCGGAGAGAATCGGCGAGTGTTCGGCATCGACGATGTCATGAAAGTATTTATACGCGTTCTCTTTTGTTTCTCGAGCTTTTAAAAAAAAAAAAAAAATTCGATTTCTGTCTTCAAATTGAGACCCTCACGTTGCAGTACATTCGCGACAACGCGAGATTCATCGTGTACAACCTCACGGAAGGCGAGGCTTTGAGGAAGAAGAACGACATGGTCAAAGCCGCGATCGAGACCAAGCGATTGAAGGATCAGCCTAGATACGCGAGAACATTTCAGGAGCAGCAGGGATACTTCGAGGAGGGCATGACGTTGTTCTATCACTTCGGTGAGAACGATACGAATGGCTACAACGCTTCTCGAAACATCAACAACAGCACCCAGAGAACGAAACGGGCGCATACGGAGGAAGATGTTGAAGTAAAATTAATTAATTGAAAAAATCCCGAGTCGAAATTTAGCGTCTACATTGAACCTGAATTTTTGAAAAAAGGAAATTTCGGACGTATATAGCAGCGTCAAAGTAGCATCTACTGTTTTTCTTACTCCTACTTTGAGCCTATCAGAGTCTATTTTGAGCCTATCAGAGCCTGCAATGCGCAGCTTGATCTGAAAATTGAACCCTACTTTAAAACTTTGGCAGGAAAAAAGGAAATTTCGGACGTACAGCAGCGTCAAAGTAGCATCTACTTTTTTCTTACTCCTACTTTGAGTCTATCAGAGCCTATTTTGGGCCTATCAAAGCCTGCAACGCGCAGCCTGATCTGAGAATTGAACCCTACTTTAAAACTTTAGCAGGAAAAAAGGAAATTTCGGACGTACAGCAGCGTCAAAGTAGGATCTTTGGCTAGAATCCTACATAAAAAAAAAGAGAAATTGAGGTTCAATGTAGACCCTAAATTTCGACTCGGGATCTCTCTTACTTTAATTAATCCATAGACTTGGCATAGAGAAAAGACTGAAACGGAAAAAAAAAAAACATTTATTTGCACTTAGAACGACGTGATGCGAGTGATTTTGAAAATACGCGTGCCGTTGCTCCGCGTCAAGTCTCAATACACTCTCACGGGAAATGTAGGAAAGGAAGCTCTACGCGGCGACGGCCTGTTCGCCGGGAACTTCAGTAAGAAAACACTCACGCGCGCACACGAAATCTTGCGACATTGTATACGTAAATAGAGAAATTAATATTATACCTGTATCGTGCGTTTCCTAACAGCTGATGTGGTCGGCGACTTCACGCTGGAACTGAAGAAAGCCGGCGAGGAGCTAATGATCGTTCGTGCCGCGAAGGCGAAACTGTCCGCCAAAGATCAGAAGATCAGTCTTCAAGGTATGAACGAGAAGGGACCGGTGCGAGTTATACTCAACCAGGGTGAGTATGCGGCGAATATTTTACTACTGTGTTTAAACCTAATTAAAAAAATATATATATATTAAGAAATATATATATATTAGGAAATATATAAGGCCTTACGAGCCGTTTCCAGGATGTTGAGCGGAAACTGTACATATTATATATATATAAAAATATTATATATACATATATATATATAACGTTATATATATATACACGTACAGTTATATATACATATATATAACGTTATATATATATATACACGTACAGTTATATATATATATATATACACATGTAACTAATTCAACTTGTAAATTTTTACAAGTGATTATTTTTTTAATTGAAATCTCAATTCTTAAATTCATACGGGATGCTGGATTTGCATTCGCTCAACATCCTGGAAACGGCCCGTAAGGCCTTATATATTTCTTGGTTTTAATTTCAACGAGCCTTAAGTCATAATTGTTTTAAAAAAATATTATCTTAATTTAAAAAAAAAAAACCCTCTGGTGTGTTCCTTTTGCTGACAGAGAGTTACTTTAAAAATGGTTGTGTGATTGTTAATACTCTATTAACGTTAATAACTACTATCTTCACACTTTTCACCCGAAGATCATCGCTTGCCGGCACTTAGTGCGGAATTGCTCATAGTCCGACTGCGAGAAACTACGTTCTATAATTGCTTAGACATTAATTATATTTAAACTTTATAATTTCCCATCGTTCTATAATTTATTAGACATTAATTATTTAAACTTTGTAATTTTCCATCGATAATATTTGATTGAAAATAATTGTTTTTCTCGAACAAACGTTGAGCGATCGTCGAAGTTTTAAAACAAATTGAAGACTGACTACAAGAGTCCGGCGGGGGAATCACACACGAAGATTTCTTTACGTCTTATTTGTTACGTGATTGTCAAGCAACTCTTCCGTAATTACGCGACAGAGTAAAAAACCGAATTCTTTCGTGGAAAGTAGCGTCGCGCGACTCGCGATATGACGATATCGCTTATCGGACGATTACGTAACAGGTGTGTGTGTGTGAGACGTGAGAAAGACGTGGGGAAAACGAGGGGAAACAATTGTGGATTCTCTTCGCGATTGTTATGGATTCCCTCCCGATTGAGATTCGCGTTTATCGTCGCTTCGAGAAGAAATACGCGCGTAATGCAATCGCGCGCCCAAGATCATCGGGTAAAAGTCGTGGCGCTTTCTTTAACGGTTTCTGTAAGCGCGAACCGATCCTGTGCGATATTAACTCAGTTAATCTCTCTTTCATTCACGGACTTTCCTTCGCTTAGGTTTAACGGCTGCCGAGGCAGTCGCGGCGATGCTCGCCGACGATCTGGCGACCAAGGGGCTCAGCGAGAAACCGGCTGACGCACTAATCTACAAGATGTACAAAGATCTGCCGGTCAATTGATCATTCACAGCTAACGTGATCGATCTCGAGTTGAGTCAGCTCGAGAAGTTTACGCTCCCAGCTAGTGTTTTTTCCATTGTTCATTAATCATTAATCGATTAATCTCGCAATCGTATATAGATTTCTTGTCGCGTATGTCTAATTGCTTTATTTATTTATTCGCTTTGTTTGCGTCTAGATAAGAATAATTTTTATTATATGCTGAGATAGTTTTTGTTTAATTACTTTATTGTAGTAATTTATATATTATTGTAGTACTTATTATATATTAATTAGTACTTATTATATATTATATATTAATTAGTACTTATTATATATTATTGTATGTTAATTAATTTATTATTATGTTATTATTGAAAGATATTTAATTTCTTACGCACATACACACACACACACACACACACACACGTATATATATAAATATATATAAAATTTATATTTAGATTGCATTTATTTGCATTTCATACACTTGTATTTATTTATTTCTATTTTTAAGTGTGCATGTCGAAGTAATATTCCCATGTGTATTTATAAAAGGCAATATTTCTTAATATGCATGTGTCAATAAAAGAGTTTTTACAGCGCGAGAAAACGAGAAGCGTAGTTCAATATTTCGTTTTCTTACGAGAGAAATAATCTTTGTTACATAATTGCATTTAAAAAATTTAAACGATTGCACTATTCTTGACTTTGCCAGAATCGTAGAGAGAAAGTCGTCTCGTATTTCCCCCGTAACATTTGCCCGAGATGGGTTTTTTATATAATTTACGTGAATACGGTGATGAAAATGTTTTATTCATAAATAAATAATCGAGTTGCAATTTTATTCGTTATTAATTTATGCGCAATTCAATTTGCAATAATTAATAAACGTAATGTTGTTATTCATGCTTGCATCAATGAATTAACGCTCTTCAAAAAGTTCATTATCATGAACGTTTATCTGATAAAGAATTGTAACAATAGAAAAACTCGGTTAACGATTTCAAAGAAACTATAAATATAATATCGGAATAATGAAAGAACACATCTGTAAGAACTCAATTACTTACTCAAATTAGATGCAAGTCACTACGATAATTTGTGAAAAAAAAAACGTGTAATAATGTTTCACGGCATAAAGAAACTTTGTTACGTTTGTTAACTCTTTAAAAATAAAAAAAAAAAAAATGACAATAGCGTGTCTCGCGACGCAAAAGTCGGCCTTTGGCTTGAAAGTTAATCTTATATTGACATTTCCAATACTGTAAATCATAACGTAACTTCGCGCGTCTCTCTTGTACTCAGTGTAATTCTAATCTTGCATATGTAACACATTTACCACATATGTATACATTACCACACATCAATAAACACCTGTGTACTCGTTGCGTAATTATATATTTGTTACGTCGTCGCGTTTGACATAATCCAGCGGCAAACAATGGCGTAAATAATGTTTCTTAAATTACACGCATTACAAACATGAGATTATTAATTAATTATCCAGAGAGATCTTAGCGTATCAAAAATAATTTCCGATTAAGATTTAGATGAGTTACATTGTTTAAATTAGAATATAAAATAAATTAATAAATTTAATTTTATTTATGAAACAGGATTTAATTGTAAAACGATATAATAATTTTATTTGAATATTATTAATAATCAAAAATAATTTCCGAATAATTGGTAATTATTTATCGATATGACAATACGAGATGAAAATCATTTAACAGTATTTCACACGCGCGTCACATTTCAAAATCTGAGATAATTACAAAAAGGATAAAGTCCAAAAACGTTTCGAAATTAATTTCGGCTCGTTTTTGATCTTTTTTCTTGTTTTGCATAACGAGCGTTTTTGAATTTATCACCAAGGTAATTAATTATTCAGGACTTTTAGCGCGAATATATTATAAGAATGACGTCTGCGAACGACTGATAGTTATTTTTTTCACGCGACAATGTGATAACAAAGCAATCTAAAATAATTATTAATTAATAATCACATATTTCAAATATTAAACAAACGGACACATAAACTCTGCTCGTGCCGATCGTTCGAGGTGTCGAGTGTAAAAAGTCGACGGTTATTTCTCGAGAAGAAGAACGGCATTACCCCGGCGATGTAAAAGAGCCAGAACGATCGCTAATTTCGGTCGTCCAAGCGCTAATGGTTTTTGTTTCGTCGTCTCTAAAATTATACCTACATCATTTCACGCAGCTTCCTTTCAAACGAACGTCGTTAATCGCTTGCTCGCCGAGAAAAATAATATGCAGCAGCAGACTCGATTTCGAAAGTCGGCGCGATTCCGTCCTGAAACCACGGCGCATTGTAATCAGCCACGCGACCACGTCTCGTCCTCATCTTTGGATGGTCTCGTCGTCGCGGCGAAAAATCACCGCATCCGTCCTCATCATCAGCGAAGAACGCAATTCTTCGTTGTAGTTTCCCGTAATTCCATGTCAAATACTATGCAGATCGCCATTATACATATGTATGTGTGTATACATGCGTAGCTCGGCTACGGCCCTGACTGAGTTAAAAGGAGGCATTCTAGCGTGATAAATTCACCATCGCTGGCGACGGACGACGACCAGGTGGGGTTGGTATCAAGCGCGCGGAGAAAGTGCATTTACTTTATATATATACCCGTGCCGCGGGGCCATCGTACGCATTTTCGATATCGCCGTCGTTAATTGCGATCGCGCGTATCATCCGTGTGCGGATAAAACCCGGCAAAATCGAATCCCAAACGCGAATTTCCACGCGAACGAAACTTGTTGGGAAGATGATGCTGATCGGAGTCGCACTGCTCGCCGCGCTGACCAGAACAGCCCTGTCGGAGCTGCGTGAGTATCGTGTGTCCTCATTTCTTTTTAGAAATCATATTGCGCTTTATATAAGCGCGCGTAAAACAATAATTCTTGAAACAATAGAATTTTTCTCTTAAACTCGTTGAACGCTTTACAATTGACTAATTAATAATATAAAATATATTATATTTTTTATGTTATTTAATATAAAATATATTTAGTTTTGCGCGAATAACGTTTTTTCTCTCGGTTGTTTAACTTTATTCAGAAATGTGTATTTTTGCATAGTGAAAAATATAATGTGTTTGTTGCCGATCCACAAATTCGGACGAGACATAATTAAGAATAAAAAGATATTTAGAATAAAAATCATTTTGTATTATTCATGTATCGACATTGTACAAACATACGTTTTTGAATAAATTAAACCGAGTCGAAATTTAGCGTCTACATTGAACCTCAATTCCTCTTTTTCTTATGTAGGAGTAAGAGAGAAAGTAGATCCCACTTTGACGCTGCTATACGTCCGAAATTTCCTTTTTTCCTGCCAAAGTTTTAAAGTAGGGTTCAATTCTCAGATCAGACTGCGCATTCCAGGCTCTGATAGGCTCAAAATAGGCTCTGATAGGCTCAAAGTAGGAGTAGGAAAAAAAGTAGATGCTACTTTGACGCTGCTATACGTCCGAAATTTCTTTTTTTCGAAAAATGAGGTTCGATGTAGACGCTAAATTTCCACTCGGGAATAGTCATATTGTGAAAGAGTACTTATCCCGAGTCGAAATTTAGCGTCTACATTGAACCTCAATTTTTGAAAAAAGGAAATTTCGGACGTATAGCAGCGTCAAAGTAGCATCTACTTTTTTTCTTACTCCTACTTTGAGTCTATCAGAGCCTATTTTGAGCCTATCAGAGCCTGCAATACGCAGCCTGGTCTGAGAATTGAATCCTACTTTAAAACTTTAGCAGAAAAAAAAGAAATTTCGGACGTATAGCAGCGTCAAAGTAGGATCTACTTTCTCTCTTACTCCTACATTAAAAAAAAGGAATTGAGGTTCAATGTAGACGCTAAATTTTGACTCGGGATGTCTCTGACATTATAAAATAAAAAAAATTTCTTCAATGACGTGTAATCAGTGGTTTTTTTTTAAAAGAATTACTTGCAAATTAAATTTTAAATAATCGTATTTCTCAATAATAAACGAGTCTTAAACTATAGTTTTTTCATAATATTTATGCACGAAATTAGAAACGTGTTCTACTTAGAAACGTTCTCTGGTTCTTACGGCAATTTTACAGCAATACAATGGTACATTAATTATACCCAGCTAATTGAGATGACGATTCAATATCTACGATCTATCGTTACAATGTTTATAATCAGTTTCATCAATATCTCAATGTGCGAAGACCGCAAGCTAAAGTGTAATGATTAGAAAAAAAATCTTTTAAATAATTTTAAACTTATTATTTTTAAGTTTTTTTTATATATACGATGTCTTTTATTATATAAAAATTTATTTTTGAGACACATATTAAACCAAGAAAAAGAATCTTATCGGAGAATCTTACGTTTCTAAGTAGAACACGTTTCTAATTTCATGTTTCCTGAAAAAAATTTAGTTTGAGACTAAAAACGATTCTCCTTCTTTTTTTTATTTTTTTCTCGGGAATTAATAAAGAACATTTTATTTTTAAAAAGTCTCGATTTTGTGGTTTAATCAGATTCGATTTTTGGAATCGTCGTATCGCTTGTTGAACGTTTCCATTTGTTTTCGCAATTTCCGCAGTTATATGTTAAGCACGCGTACAAAGATTTAATGAGACGGGGCACCTCCCTATCGTCATTGAGAAACGAATAGAGAAAACCAGGAAGCCGTTGCGACACTATCAAAGGAAAATCGGATGGGTATGTTTGCCGCTCGGAAAGATAGAGAAGAGAGGGGTCATTACTTCCACACGTACTATAGAGACAATGTAATCTGCAATTTAATCCCACACTTTTACCCATATAACAGTCTTCGTGTCGCCGCTTCTACTTGTGTGTGATAGACAAGACGAGATCTTATTTTATTTTATTGTTCCCGTTTCGAACGAGGAGAAACTCGAAAACACATTATAGGTATTTTACGTTTACCAACGCGCGCCCCGTTTCAGATTGTTATTACCATGGCAAGAACGGTCTGACATTACATCGCGTTATATCGGCGATGCTGAAACAAACTTACAAATTGCTTTGTTATTATTTCGCTACTTATAATATTGGAAAAGAGAAACCGATTCATAATTTTATCAAAAAAATTTATTTTATCCAATCGATTTAATTAACCTATTTCGATTTTTTCTCTTTTCCAATTGTTACTTGCATTTCTTTTCAAGATTTTTCAAAGAGAAGTGTACACGCGAATTTCCTGTGTTCCAAACGTCGATAAAAAAAAAAAAAAAAAAAAAAAAAGACATATTCGCCAGTCGCCTTCGCAATTTCACTTTCTACTACCGTAGCACTTTCGATTTTAGGCATGGCCGATCGATCGGTCAGAAAAAAAGCCGCTCTCTTCGTCGAGTTCTTGTCATTATCGCGCTCGCTCAACCGACTTCGTAACGCGAAGGTGCAATTGCCTTCTTCGCTCGTCGTCTCTTTAACAGATGCGTATTTTTTTTTCTTTTTTTTTTTTTTACAAGCTGATGACATTAGGCGCATTTCAAAGATACGTAATGTGCGCTTGCAACTTAATCAACGATTGCGTTGGCTTTTATTAGCCTCGTCTATGATTTTCTATTTGAGAACCACGCAAAGTTCCTTTCTCTTTTTATCCTTTGGATTTTTTCCACTTTTTTTTAAAAAAGTTTCACAAATTAAGATAAATTTATTATTTGTTTATTGATTAAAAGATAGATTTTTCCACATGTTTTCCGTGTTTGGCGAGTTTAACGCTCCGCCTAAAATTTTAATGTCGATAAAATTAATAATTTAATCGAATGCAAACGATATTCACACAGCTCCCGGAGTGACATCATGTTCACGAACGCTCAGCTCGTCGGAGTACGACAAATGCGTGCTGAAACAGCTTCAAGCGCTCACGCCATATCTCACCAAGGGGGTGCCGTCTTTGAAATTGCCGGCGTTGGATCCGCTTTATCTGCCGTCGCTGACCGTGGACAGGAATTTGGAGTCGTTGAAACTTAAGGCCAACATGAGTCAGATTCGCGTTTACGGCGGCACGAATTACGTGGTGCGCGAACTAAAAGCGAATCCAAACGATCTTACCGTTTCCATCAAGGTTACGATGCCGCACATCCACGTGAACGGCGAGTACGACGTTCAGGGAAGACTGCTGTTGCTGCCTCTGAGCGGACTCGGCAGTTTCAAAGGGAATTTTAGTGAGTTTCTCTTGTGTGTATTCAAATTTGTATTTAGCCGTTTGTAAGAAAATATATATATGCAATCCCGAGTCGAAATTTAGCGTCTACATTGAACTTCAATTTTTGAAAAAAAGAAATTTCGGACGTATAGCAGCGTCTACTTTTTTTCTTACTCCTACTTTGAGCCTATCAGAGCCTGCAATGCGCAGTCTGATCTGAGAATTGAACCCTACTTTAAAACTTTAGCAGGAAAAAAGGAAATTTCGGACGTACAGCAGCGTCAAAGTAGGATCTACTTTTTCTCTTACTCCTACATAAAAAAAGAGAAATTAAAGTTCAATGTAGACGCTAAATTTCGACTCGGGATATATCAAAGTTTATTTTATATCAAATAATATTAATTAAAATATTTGAAGAATCGCGCGGAGAACAATCTAATGACTGCTATTTTGCTTGGATAGTATAAAAATACAGATATTAAACATTAATTTAATCTGTTCTTTGACTTAGTATCGTTTTGATTATTGTACAGGAATGTCTGTACTAGATACTCGACATCCTTATTTATAGACTGTGAACTACATTTATAATTAATTTTTCAATGTAATATATTATTTGGACTTATTTGGTATGTACAATTGTTTAATCAATGTTATTTTTGATGATAACATGTTTATAAATGTCATATTTTTTGTTAAATAGATTTGATTGAAAAGGACTAAAAATATAGTCGAAACGTTTCAAAAAATGACATGAGTCTAATTTTTTCAAGCATAACATCCTGCTCTGTCTCTTTATAGCCGTTTATTGTATCATTTGAATTTTAAATGAGAGCCTGAGGTCAAGCCTCTTTTCTTCACATTAATTTAAGTTTATCAAGAGGTAGCGCATCGCGCCAAGTTTTTTTTCATGTGTCTGTAAGTTTCTCATAAATTGTTAACTCTTTACGCCAGCCGACACCGAAGCCCAAGTAAACGCTCATGCCAAAGAAGTAACCGACAAAAATGGCGTGCAGAGGCTCGAGATTGACACATTGGACACCAATATCCGCGTCGGCGACGGAAATATTAAACTTAAGGCGCCCCCTACTCACACGTTAGCCGGTAACAATTGAGAATTGTGTTTATTTATAAAAGAAAATTATTATCGTACGTTTATAATTACAAAATCGTAACTTCATTAAAAGAAAAAAAAATTATTGCACGCTCACTCTGTGTTAATTTCAGCCGAAGCTGCTGCAACATTCTTCAATTCGAATCCTCGTCTAGTCCTGGACATAGCCAGACCGATTATCGAGGACACGGCCGCAACTGTGAGCAAAGCTCTGGCCGCCAGAGCTCTCGGTGTTCTCACCAAACAGGAACTCATTTCCTAGGTGAATAGAGTACGTCGAAGTTTCAAGCGAGCTTCGTTCAAGCGAGAACAAGTAGATGTTAGTAAATGTAGCGTTCGTACATTTTTTTTTAATCGTGATATTATATTTTTTCACCTGCTAGTCGGTGAAGCATATAGGATTGTTGTTTTTTTTTATATATTTCCAAAGAAGATGTTTTACTTAATTATCAATTCGCACGCGTGTGCTATTCGAGAAGAACGTGTCGCTTGTATTGATTTTTCGACTTTGGGTAACAAATGAAATATTTATTCATTTCCAATACAGAAATTTTCATTACGTAAAATATCTTTGGGGAAACAACGACAACAACAACAATTTTTACATGCACCTATACAGGGTGTCCGGTTACGATATAATAATCATATCTCGAGAGTAGATATAGAACGGGTTATGCTAAGTCGAAAAGTTTTTTACTTCGCAGGTTTTGTAACAATCAATGAGTTATTAATATTTATAAAGATTCGTCAATGAGCGCGTGTTTGCCGTTAAGATACAGCGTTTCGATACTAGACACGTTGCGATATAGTGAAAGAAATTTGATTTTTAATCAAAAATAAATAATTAATAATAACTTTAATCGACAAAATGCTTCCGCGTTTTTAAAAAATCAAAATTATTATTAATAATTGTTTAAATTATTGTTAATTGCTGTTTATAGAGTATTATTTTAGTCGCCGTCGCCAACTGTGAGCGTGCGAAACGGGTTGTTTCTTCGTGGCGGACACGCACACACACACATACGCTTGTTTTGCGAACTTTGATAAATCAGTAACTCATTAAATTTGACAAAACCTGCAAAATAATAAAAGATCTTTCGACTTAGTCAAAACAACTCGCCCTATCTGTCTACGACAAGTGTTAACCAGATATCCTGTATACATTTATATATAGTACATATATATATATCTATATGTATATATACATGATTTTTTACCTATATGTTTTTCTACTTACAAGTTATATAGACTGCAAATTAAGTACTGTTCATTCTTGTTTATTGTATTTGACAAATCGTTGTTCATATTTTATGCGTATTTTGTTGTTTTAGGTAATTTTAATACGTGCAATAAAAAAATTGTATAATTTATATTATTGGCGTTATATAATTTTTATTAATATTTTTAGAAGTGTAAACAAATATAAGATTGTACAACTAGCCGAGAATTAAGAGAAATTAATAGAAAAAACGCTAAATATATGTGCAAAATATATTTTTTTTAATAAATATGTACAATACACAGAAAATTAATACATAGAAATTCAAATTGAATTCAATTTGCAAAATCGTTTAAGATATGTATTTAATTTGCATTTCATGTGTATATCATGAAATATTAATTTTATTTTTCTATAAAATTAAAAAAAAACACGCCTAAAAAATTATGTATTACGTAAGAGACTTTGTGAAAATACAATTATTTTGTTTAGTTGGTGCAATAAATATATGTATATCGCGTCGTAAAACGTTAAAGTTTTTACAATGTCGTTTCTCATTTGTATGTAGCACGACTGAATCGTATTATCGTAAATGTAACACGACAATAATATTAATTAAAGGTAAACAGTATTATATTCGAACAAAATAGCTGAAATTTATTTGCGAATTGAAAACAAGAAGAAAATTAAGATATAAAAGACAAATACAGAGATGTGTATAAATATAGATTAAGATATATAAATATACTTTTGAAGATTAATTCAAAACTCAATAATTAAATATCTGGAAATAATTCGTCATAAGTAAAAGAGGATGAGATTTTACTGGCGATATCCGAGAAAATTTTTGTCACCTCGGTCTCTAGTGCTGGGTTTAATTCTTGCAGAAATAAATCGCTATTATTGTTTAGAAGATCATTGCTTGCCGCTCCTAATGTGAAAATAAAGTTGTTACAATCAAAAATCACAAGGATTATACTAATCGATAAAATTTCTTTCGTAACATTTTCGTGTAAAGCAAAATATTGAAACTTACCAAGAACTGCATTGCCATTGAATAAATTGTCAAAAAATATGCGAGTTTTGTTTGCACTGATTATATTTATTTTAAATTTTGTAAAGTGCGCGTAGGTTATGTTATTTTGAACAACTTTCTGACCTTTGAGAATAAATGATGCTTTGTAATCATCTGCAACATAAATGACAAACATTAAACGGATGTTAAATATTACACATGTAAAAATGCGAAAGCATTTGTTTTTCACAAGTTCGCTTGTGTTTCTTTTTTGAAAAATTAATTAATTACATTATTTGTCACACACACACACACACACACACACACGCGCGTATTTCTGAAAAAATAATTTGCTATTTCATTTTGTAACATTTTAAGAAACGCACGAAATTTATCAAGAAAATGCGAGAGACTTACTGAAAGTTCCGTTCAAATTTCCTTCTCCGATTAGCTTGAGTAGAAGAAATGATGCGTTTATCTTATATTTTCCTTGAAAATCAAGTTTCGGGAACAACAATTGAAACTCGAACTTCAATTTCTCCGGATCGGCTTTGAACCAAATAACTTGGAATTCAGGAATATGAAATACCTATTGAAAAAAAAAAAGTTTTTTTTTATTAAATTTCACTATTTTTTGTTACATTTTATTGCTGTAGATATTAGTAAATAACTCACTTGTAGATCCGTGATATTGACGTCAAACTTATTGCTACGCGATCCAGAACCTCTAGTAAGATATACATGGGGTAAGTAAAGCGGTTCTATCGCGGGAACGTTTAATTCTTTCAATCCCGTAGCCAATTTTTTGCGAAGCTGATCAACTGAATTGACTATACAATTGTTTATATCGGGATCCTTTCGACTGCATACTTTTATATACGATGCTGTGACAAAAAAGCGAGAACACTATAAGATTAAACGTAAAAAATCTTGTAATGAGGTATTTTATATGTACACGCGAAAGGTAAATGTCACGACGTTTTGTCCATATTCATGATCGCGCGCGCGTGTGATCTTCACATTTTAGCGTTTATTTACATTTAAAATTTTCATCAAATAAATTATGTCGATCTATTAAACATTTGGTTAAAAAAAGTTGTACATAAACTATTTTTATGGGTATTTGGATATCTTAACAACTTGAGATTGACTTTTTTAATTATTTACGTCATTTATATTCTCATAATATTTCAAGCAGGTTTTACTGTTTATATTATATATGTAAACACTTGCGTGCGGTGATATAATCAAGTAAGTTTTTTTTGTCAATTATCAAGTTACTCACGTAACGTTGCAGAGGCCATGCCGAACAATACGACAGCCAACCTAAAATGAAAGATCAATTGTCAATAATACCACACATACACATATACGTACAACATATTATTAATATTAATAAGTCAGTAAACTTATTTTTCTGAGACAACACTTCTTTAGACAGAATGATTGCTGTTACAGTCGGATGTGTCTTACAAAAATAAAATAAAATTTATTTTAATAACATAATAATCAATTAATATTAATCCGTAATTAATATTAATAAAAAATAATTAATATTAATAATATTAATAATCAATTAATATTAATCCGTAATTAATATTAATAAAAAATAATTAATATTAATAATATTAATAATCAATTAATATTAATAAAGTTTATACAAATATTAATTGATTATTGTTTTGCGTAATAAAAAATAATTTTTAAAATTAAGATAAACCGTCAACACATGTTATGTGTAAGATATATGTTGTGATGTAGAAGTGTATTATTCTCTCTCTACGTATTTTGTAATCGATGTTTTTATTTTTAATAGATTTCTCAAAAAGAAGTTAACACTTTTTTCTAAAATCGGAAAGACAAATAAAAGTTTTCGATAAGTGAAATGAAGAACGCCGGCACATAGAATTATTTTAAATGCATTCGTCAATATATTACTTTGACACAATACAAGAATTTCAATCCTGATGTTCAATTGGTGAAACGTGAGATATCAGCGTGAGCTCTATACAATATTTATAATGAATTAAAAACCTGAAATAATTGTAACTTGTAAGACCAGATAGAAAAAAACATTTATCTGTCTTATATTTACGAATATTTGCGTCTGTAAGAGTATTCTAACGCTTATCCAAAATACCCGACATAATGTATTATAAACAACTTACTCTCATAGCTTGTAATTGTAAAAAAAAAGAGACTTATTATATTAAAATAACTTCATGTAACAAACACATAATATTATTTACATCTAGATTTATTATATTTTACACTATAGTTGGTTTTGTTAGCACACAATTTAAATTATTTTATATTTTTAATGTTATTATTTTTACTTTTAATTTAATTAAATTTTAGTGTAAAATTGAATGCCTAACAGAGAGAATCACTATTGATTTACCAGATTGTAAAGAAAAGAGACTCATATTCAAATAACTTCATGTAACAAGCACATAATATTATTTACATCTAGATTTATTATATTTTCTAATATAGTTAGTTTTGTTAGCACACAATTTAAATTATTTTATATTTTTAATGTTATTATTTTTACTTTTAATTTAATTAAATTTTAGTGTAAAATTGAATGCCTAACAGAGAGAATCACTATTGATTTACCAGATTGTAAAGAAAAGAGACTCATATTCAAATAACTTCATGTAACAAGCACATAATATTATTTACATCTAGATTTATTATATTTTCTAATATAGTTAGTTTTGTTAGCACACAATTTAAATTATTTTATATTTTTAACGTTATTATTTTTACTTTTAATTTAATTAAATTTTAGTGTAAAACAATGCTTAACAGAGAGAATCACTATTGATTTACCAGATGCGAGCAACGAAACTGAACATTTCAGCTGATAAGATAATACTATTTGACGATTAAAATACGACTGATGAAAACGAAGTATCAGTCAGAACGTTTATAGCAAAGATTCCCCACTTTTCGTTTTTAATAAAGAAGAAGGAGAAGTTCTTCCTGAAACTAAAGTCTCTTGCACAATGCGAGGGAATAGCGATAGCAATAAGCATTAGGCACAGAATTCCAACTCGTCGAAAAATTTATCGCTATTGCTTATTCCGTTTTCTGATCTGCATTGATACACGTGTATTTTTGTATGTTAGATTCCGCTGTTCCCCCCTACCGTTATTTATAAATATAAACTCTTTAAAACTGGTGTTATTTCTATCGCTATCGCTATTTCTTCCATTGTGCAAGAGGCTTAAATGAGATTACAGCTATTAATCATTAATACCAGAGCTATTAACTCATTACTTAAGTATCTCGTTAAATAAGCAGTAGTTTTTTTGTAAAGTAAATAATAGTTGAAAAAATAGTAGTAGTACAAAAACTGTATCAATCATACTAACTAGATATTAAGTCACAACTCAATTATATTAAATTACATATAGATCATATAGAAGCCAAATACTGATATAGTGCACAATATTGTTCAAATATACAATAATTACAATATGTATGTATAAATTTTTTTTTTTCAAATTCACAGGATTTAAATGACATTTCAAATTGATATCAAAATTAGAATTAAAAAATCTTCAAACCCATTGAAAAAACATTCTCAATTCAATTTTTCAATTCTTAATTTTAATAAATCACGTTTTATTAAAACCACGTACAACAATGGGCTATAGCTTTGAGGATTATTTCAATTTTAGATTTTTTGTTGCTCTTTAAATAGTTTTAATTTTTATATTTGTTTATCATTTTATATATATCGTACGTATCAATATCATATCGTGCTATGTATCATTGCTAAAAATACCACGATTCAAATGTAAAAAACCTGAAACTCGTTTTTTAGAAAGGTGGAGAATTCAATGGTTCTAACCTTGAATATAAAAGTTTAAAAAAAAAAATATTGTATTGTTTTTCAATACTTTTCACGTTGTATATAATATTATAGATTTTCAATATTAGCGATGAACTTTCAACATTTTTAATAATAAAAAAACACTGCCTCAGAGATTCCTGTTCTGTTTGTCTTTCTCTTAATTTATTGTATTTATTAAAAATGATTGTCATTAATAAAGTAACAAGAGATTTTATTTCTCTATTTCTTTACAAATAAACTTAAATAATAAATGTCCTTCTTTTTATTCACCGAACAACGATCAATACGATTGGTCGATTTGTTGAAGCGTTGTCATTAAATCATTGTAAGAGCATTTTAACTGGTGCTGCAAGAGAACTTGCAGATCTTATTACACTGAGAAAAAAAATATTATTAACTCAATTAAATGCGTTTAGTTGGCAGTCAGTTTGTTATCTGAAATATTTGTTGTTTTAATTCAAGTATATGGCGAGAAAAATAACAAATCTATATAAAAAGAAATAAGGAAATGGCAATAACAAGCTAACACCAGATGTTTAGGTACAATTCTTTTATAATTCGAAGATTTAAAAAAATTTTTAACACTGTTAAACATTTTTAAAATTTTTTTTTTCTCTTCTGTTTAACAGTGTTAAAAATTTTTTAAAATCTTTGAATTATAAAAGAATTGTACCCGAATATTTGGTGTTAGCTTGTTATTGCCATTTCCTTATTTCTTTTTATTAAAATATTCAACGAGCTGTAAACATATAAATTCATATAAGTTGAATCAACATAATTGGTAATGAACATATTTAATTTGCTAAACCACGAACTGTTCTGTCGAATATAATATATGATAATTTCAAATAAAAGATACGATAAAAAAAAAAAAAATAAAATACGCAATACTCAGTTACTTTAATTGAATATATAATCTGAATTTATTTGTACTAAATATTTAGTCTAATCAAAGTGCTTATTATTATTACAGGAAAAACAAAACATTGTGTTGTTTATATTCAAAGTAATCTGTATTTAAACAAACTGTAGATTTGTTAAAACAACTGAATATGTATTTCGATACAAACTAATTGTCATATCTATTGAAACATGATATCTTCTTACATTAATTGCTATTTAATTGACAGTACGTGACCGCCGCCTATAGTTGAATCAAATTACGATTTTGTTACTTCAACAAATTTTTTTTCTCAGTGTACGTACGCGCACATATTGTCTTTTTTGATGCGAAAAAAAAATCACATCGTTTGAGACAATTCATCAGCCAGGTAATTTTCTCTCTTCTTTTTTTATCTTGTTTACTTGTCTTCTTTTTGGCAGTTCAAGGAAATTCGTGAATGTTACTTTAAATATCGCCGGAGAACATTCTTAATCACGCAGTTGCAAAGCGAAGGGAACCAGCAAAGCAAGACAGAATTCTCATTTCGAGACACATTCTGAAACCGGTGCTCCGATCGAGCGTTAATGTTTCGCAATTCCACGAGGCAGTTTCACACATATCGCGTCTAGTTCGAGATGAAAGGTGAACATCAATGATTATTAGATTTTTTTGATGATAAAATACAGAATTTTAAAAATACAGACTCGATAAGAAGATAAATATTTATATACAAGGCACACAATTATGTTCCCTAATAGGCACATTTGTGAAAATATTGCACAAAAACGGCATCACGAATGGCGACGATTTTGCAATGATTGCACCAAGATGATTCGCCATAACGCAACAGTGTTTTGTCACAATAAAATTTTGCAAATAATATTTGTCAAAAATTAGAAAAGTACGCATTTCCAGTACGATACCTCCAATAGGCAAATTGTGAGAATATTGCACAAATATGACATCGTGAGTTACGACAATTTCTTGCATTTCTTCATATGCAATTATATTTCTACATATTTGAAACATCACATAGCTGAATTTATTTTCTTAATTATTGAACAATTTCTTTGTGAAATTAATTTTTGCAAATATACTGCTACGATGATATCGTTATTATTTTGCCGAAATAATATTTGGAAAGTAATGTTGCAAACAGTTACAAATATTTGACAAAGATCAATGTTTTTACATTTATTTTCTAAAATATGTCTGTATAATTGCAAATTACAATTTTAGTGCAAGATTTCGTCACATAATTTTGTAAATGTTAATGTTTCCTGTTACAGGATTATATGTATATATCTTTCTTACCGTAAACCTAAAAGGAAAAGGAACACTATAACGTAATCTTCAACACTACTCAAACAGTTAACACAGCCGTATCACTTCTCTGCATTTCAATTTTTTTAGACCTACGTTTCGTGCCGCATTTCGTTCGTGCATAGTATCGAGTTAAAATTCATCTCACGCGCGCAAACGTCCGTGATACATATGCAGGCACGTGACCTCGTATTGTAAATTTTTAATATATAATTCATTTTACTCTCGAAGTCTTTATCGCTATCCGCGGCAATTATATCGAGTTGCTTCGCCGTCGTATTTTGCGCTCAACAAGTAAAAAAATAGTAAATATACTTGAAATTAATATATTCTGATGTTTTAAATTTCATAACGTTATTTTTTAATTTTTTACTCCGGCGCATTTGCGATAGCTTTGGACGGAATGCGTTGCTAACAACTCGAGGCTATATAAACAAAGAATGCTTTCGACACACAATTGCGTTTACTATTCTATAAACGTGTGAAATAAAATATAATACGTAGTGTATGAACGTATACACATATATAATACATATACGTTCAGTATACATAGTGTAACGTATATATGTATGTACGCTCTTCGTATCCGAATGTCTACTTTTCAAGGAGATACACGCTCTTCGTAGCGAGAATTAATTAAATTAATTTCTATGCAAAACGCTTTTTTTTGTTATAGCTTGTTTTTAATTATAGTTTAGAAAAAAGATATTTATCTAGAAGAACTGTGGATATCTTAATTAAATCTACAACTATCAGAAAAGAGATGGCGCGTTTTGTGGCTCGCGATGTTTTGAAAATGGTGACGTATCTTGATTGTAAAACGCGGCGCGCGCGCGCGCGCGTTGCTACACGTGCGGAGAAGTAAAGAACTGGCGTAGCCACTTGTGCAATTTTGCCTCTCCCTATTAGAATTAGCGAAAGTCGCAAAATGAAACGGTTATACGGTCTTATAGCGACGCCCGAAAAAGCCGCGATCCGTAACAAAATCCGGAGGTGTCCAACACACGTGTCGCGTGTCCAAGTCCATTCGTGTCAAGTGTGCGAATTTGCAAACGCGAAACGCAATATTGAACACTTTATTTTTTTTTCATTCCCTTCTCATTTTACTGAGATTTCTCCGAATTCCCGCCTTTTATGGAACGCACGCAATGAGATCGCGACTCCTCAATGTAGCGGAGAAAACGATTGAAATCGTTTTTTTTTTTTTTTTTGCGAGCAAAAAAAGAAATACTCTAACTCGCACCTTCGTTTTTCGCAATATTTTAATTGCAATTTTTTTGAAAACGCGTAATTCTCGCGCTGTGTGTATTTATGTTAGACATTTATGAATGTTAATTCTTCTCTTCGTCTGTAACACACTTTACTCGAGAGACGTGTATAACGAGCAAATGAAATCACAGTCTGAGCATGAAGAAAAGAAATCCGTGCTTAAGGTCAGCATTGCGTGTTATGCAAACTCACTCATTATATACGTGTGTGTAAGTGGCAGATTCTGATGCATTTTGCCTCGAGCGTAAGGTGCTTTCGCACATTTGCACAGAAAATGCTGTTGATCGATGTCACAATATTGATTAAAACTTGTAGTGTGCACGCAAATACGTTTGTGTGCGTTTTTGCTTTTTACGCGCACATATATTCGAACGAGATGCAAGTAATTGCGATGTGTTTTAATTGTTACGAAGTTCCGCAAACATGCATACGCCAACATTTTTTTTTGGACTTTGCGATTTAATAAAAAAATACAATTGTCAGACACGATCGAAAGAAGGAGCGTGTGGAACGAATAAAATCAACGAAACGGAATTTAACAAACGCATAAATAACAAAATCATGATATATAATGTCATTGTCGTGTTATTTTATTTTATAATTAGAAGTTTGTTTTCTAAACGTGATTTTGTAATATGTGCAGCAAAACAATTATAATTTAATTGTTAATTTTTACATAATGTTACATATCTTTATTGCTATTTTTTTTTAATATTGATGTATGTATATATTACACAATATGATATTTACAATTAAAAATTTATTATTGCAGAGAAAAGCTCTATGCTCTCTCTCTCTCTCTCTCTCTCTCTCTCTCTCTCTTTCTCTCTCTTTTAACAATTATTTATATTAAGGTTTACAATAAAATGTACAAAGTCTCGGTTGCGATTTATTCGGTTGTACTTTGTACATTTTAAACAATAATGACGTTGTACATACTTATAGAACTTGTATTGTTAGTAATTTTCTTATTATGTGTGTTTTGTACAATTTAAATTACGTTATATTTTGCCTCTATTTGCGCTGAACTTCATAAACAATGTATTTATGTATTATAAAAATCTTCTCAGAAAGTAATTACATAAATTGTTCATTTGACGTTTTTCTCTAGTTTTTGTTTAAAATTATAATAAACTTTTTTGTTTAAAAAGTTAAAAGTTTTTATTTGATAAAATTGTAATTATTTTGTAAAAATTTTTAAGTTAACAATTTTTGTTTAATTGTAATAAAATTGTGATTATTTTGTAAAATTATTTAACTATAAATTGTTTTCTATGTTCTTGTCTGATAAAAGTTATTTTTTTAAATTAGTTTATTCTACTAATAATTATAGATATTAGTCACTAGTTCTGATGTACATATGAATATGTGTGTGTGTGTGTGTGTGTAAAAATCTCTGCTTCTTTATTTACATATAACACAACGTCGTTTCTTGGTAGAATAGACAAAACTGTGATACTGTCTGTGTAAAATGTCTTCATAGTGACAATAATATCAAGAAAAAACGTTTGAGGAAAGAACGCTTGTTTTTTTAGTATTCTCAGTACGGTACTTAAGAACCAGTTCTAAATTTTTAAGTTAATAATAAGTAAGTCTATATAATATATGCATGATGTAGTTATTTTTAATGTTTGTATATTATTGCAATATATTCGATAGATACAAATTCTCAGTACTAAAAATCTATTCTTTACGTCACATGTGCTATAGATTTCCAGTAATGAGAGTGAATATCGAAACGCAGTTCATGATCAAAAGAGGGATTGACAATTTTATTAATAATTAAGGCAAAATGTAAATTTCTTTCGACCGTGACTTCAATTCTAAAGTTTTTAATTTATTATTATTTGTACGTACAAGATATACACATGTTTTTCAAACAATATAACATAAATAACATCAAAGAGATGAATTCTTCACGTAGTACCGTTTAATATCTTTTTTTAACCTAGATAAATCATATATTTTTGAAACCGCATTTATCACAGATATTTGTTTGTAAACTAGTTTGCTTAATTTAAATATTGTCTAAATTAATTATTTGCAAATTGCTTCAAAAATCGTATATTCATTTAAAACTTGAATTATATTTTATAGATTATATGTTATAAAGAAAGAGAGAGAGAGAGAGAGAGATGCGTGAAAATATTTTTTATAATTTTACGCAAATATCTCGATGTGCCACTAAACTATATTTTTGTTTGTTTGTTTTTTTTAAATATATTTACAAGTCTTACATTATCATAAACATGTTACGAGGTAGTTAATAACCATATTTGTAATTTTATACAAATACTTATTTATGCATGAATGAAAAATAAAACTGTCTAGTTCAAAAAACAAAATAAGTTTGATCGATTTTTTATAGCATTCGATGGCTACGTTCACTGCCATTATTGAAGATCTATAGCACATAATGACGTAAAATGTAAATTTTTAGTACTGAAAGTGAATACCGAAACCGATAAAAAACGTTTAACATTGTATATATTAAAGCTATAATATAAACATTCTATTTCTAAAGAAAGAAAATAACTAATAATTTAAAGAAAGGAAAATATAATTGTCTTGTTTAGCTTTGTGCTGCAAAATAAAACATTTTTATGAAACATTTTGATACAACATATCGTACTTCTAACGTAATCTTTATTTTATGTACATTTGAGACGCGAAATTATATGTTGTTTACTTATCTAGAAATGTATAAATTATTCATAATATTTTAAATTAGATTTAAAGGCCACTGCAAAAAAAAAAAAACATGACCAATTCTCAGCGTACAATGAAGAAGAGAGAGAAGAAAAAACTTATGTGTGTGCCAACGTGAATTGTATAGAGTATATATACAGGTTTGATCACTCTCTCAAGATCAGTCGTGACTCGCGTTCTCTGCAAAACTGTTACAAACGATCGTGGCCAGCCTTGTTAGTTCGCATTATATACTTACAAAGATTAATACCTGGTGAAACATGTTTATAGCGTTTTTTATATCGGTATTTGTAGCTGCACATGTAGCCGCAGAAATTCGTAAGTACATAAAATGCATTCAATACACGATTTTAAACATTTAAACATTTATAATTTCATCATTAGCATTCTCGTAAAAAAGATAAAAGAGTTTTTGTTTCTCTTTTTATTATTAAAGTAGGGTTTTGTTATTAATACCAAATATAAAATACCAAATATACAAGAGATATGCCGTTAAAATCGATAGTAGTTACTTTGACAGAATTGAGTTTTAAGTGAAAGAAATATTTTCGACAGGATATGGAGCAAGGCTTTTGCGCGTTCCAGTTTCTTGCGCGCTCGAATCGAAATAACGACGGTGACGTGTATTTTTGATTTTTATAAGATTAAAAAAAATTTTTTTCATTGAATTCTCATTTCACACATTTTCTGTAAACATATATCTTGTACGCTAGATTATTACGTGTCTTTCAGAAAGTATTACATCTCGCATATTCGAAATTTGAAAAAAATTTTCTTGTTAAATAATTTCTTATTAAATTTAAAAATTGTTGCACAAAAATATCTCTTCGATCAGCAATCGAAAGATAATGAAATTCTTTTCCGGGTTTTAGAACGCGATAACTATTATTTCTTATCCACAGTTGTGTTATTATTTATATAACTTGACGCGAGAAAACAACTGATGACTTTTCCTACATCAGATCACACATAGCTCGGCGCGCAATTCCGTAATCGATCCCGTGCATTTTGCAGCTTCTTACATTCATGTGTGCAACTACAATGACCCGAAGCTTATTCAGTGTATTCTGGACAACGTCGAAAATTTGAAGCACAAGATTTGTGAAGGAATTCCTGAACTGGATATCCCAGCGAATGACCCGATGATGATCGACAAACTTACCCTCGTCGACTCGCACAACACGCAAATGTTTATGAGAAACATTAACATAACGGGGCTGTGCGATTACGTTATCAAGCAATTTTCCTTCGATATCGATAAGAATCACTTTGACGTTGAGCTCGTGTTCAACAAGATCAAAATGAACGGCACGTATGACATCAACTTGCGTATATTGGTGCCAATTAAGCAGGGGGGAGATGTCTACATTACTACAGGTACGTACGTACAATCTCGTTTGCGCTTGTATGAAAAACAAAGAAAAAAAAAAAACTAAACTGTATTTAAAATAAGAATATTTAGAATTATTTATTATCGAAATCAATAAAGAGAAATAAATAAAGTCTGAGTACTATGTGTTTTTGCAGATAACGTAGAAGCTACGGTTAACATGGACATGAAGGTGGTGAATAATCGCGGTAAGAGATATCTGTATATGTCGAAGATGAAGATCAACATCGACATCAAGGACTACGACGCTACGTACAATTTGCAAGGATCAGAATTGAACCGATTGCAAGAGATCATCGATAACTTCATAGGAAACAATAAGGAAGAGATCATTAAAGTCTTTAAACCGGCGTTGGAAAAAACGGTCTCCCAAATAGTTCTATCCGTAGCCAACGATATAGTTAAGCACTTCACCTATGAGGAGCTCTTCCCCGGACGTCCATAAAGTGTTTCTACGGCTCTAAGGATATTTGCAGTAAGATTGCGTATTTAAGATAGTCTCTCGATTTTATTTATGTAGACCACGCGTGTGTATTTAAGCAAGTGAGACTGTTTTATTTTGCAATAAACAACTGTAAATATCTTTTAAATAATTCCGTGATTAAGATTAATTTTCACGATCAAACAATGAATGTAAAACGATACATATATATAAGATCTCTATTATTATTTAAAATAATACATATGTATATGTATAAATTTTGTTTATTGTAAACGGTACGTTAATTGTTTAGTATAGATTTGTATATTTTATTATTAAAACATATATATTTAGTAAAATTAATGCGACGCAAATGTATGTAAAAAATTGCAATGTGTTACGTAACAAGTTCAAAACTTCTTTTTTAATAAGTACGCAGATTTTAATAAATTAGGATTCCAGTAGTTTTATACTTTAATTCGATCGTTAAGAGAATACTGGATGCCAACTATAGAGACGTGTAAATCGACGTTATTTTTAGAAACCTAAATTTTTGTAATTTCTATTTTTTTACTGCATTACGTGAAAAGACTTTCTTTTTACAAAAGCAAATAAATATAAAACACTTACGTAGTGTTTTTGAAAATGAATATATATAATGCTCTTTTGAACTCCTGTTTTTTTTTTTATTCACAATGTGATAGCATGTGATAACTTATACTGTCATCACACGAAGATCGCTCTTTTTCGTCAACTACACGTTCCAATCATAATCTGGATGCAAGATCTTAGCACAATTTACTAATTTCTGTAGATGCATTTTCGACTTGCGGTAAATATAAAACTAGAGCGATCCTACTAAATGTGCGTGTGCGTGTGAGCGTGTCGGTTTACTAATCGATATCCAGTATTCGGTCTCTATAGTCCATATCCAAGTATCCTCTTAAGAACTCGAAACTTTATTTAAATGTGATGTCTACGAATAACACAAATGTCTTTAATTTCAATAAATAGTCAATATATTTTTTGTATGTATTTATTACAAAAGCGTCTGGGTCTTAAGATTCTTATTTCTTGATTGGTTAAAAAATATGATGTCACTCAATGTCGTGTCGTGTAACTTCTACAAAAGTTATAACAAAAGAGAATTTCAATAAAATGTGTAAAAAAAAAAGAGTATATATATTGATTATACTTGTAAAAACCCACTTGGATAGATCGTCTATATATCCGTATATAAAGTAGAAGTTCTTGAAAACCAGTTTATAATGGTATTTTTTAAAACAGTGATTTTGCGATTCCGTCAAGAAGCGTTGCGTAAATGTTTCTTTTAACAGCAAAAAGAATTACAAAGTCGAATGTCATTAAGTGTGTGCTACATTTTCACACCTGATGCGGTAAGACTCATATGTATGATACGTCTGACAATTTGCGACAATTTGTGCAAAGTGGAACGAAAAACAATGTGCACACTCTAATACGTATATTTCTATGTTACAGTTAATTGTAAAATATTTTCTACATTTAAAATAAAAATATTAGTTTTTAAAACTGTGCTCGGATAGTTTTTATTTTTATCGCAACTTCTCTTTCGATCTAAAATTTGTGTAAAAAAACCAATTCGCTAAATAAGAATATTTTTAGCAAAAGAATTACTCGTAGATTCTTCGTAGAAATATGTTTTCTGAGAAATATTTTCAAGACTCAAACATATGTGTGTTTCATGAAAGCCAAGATATCTAATGAATTTCCTTTACGTACAAAGTACGCCGCAGGTGTTTACACTACGCCGATTGCAGGTGTGTTAGTTTACGTTAGCGCGAATAAGAATGAATTCTCCGTTCTTATACTCAAAAAAAAAAAAGAAAACCGATAGGTCAATAATTCGTCATTTTACGCGAGCAACAATTAAAAATAAATCGTTATAAAACAAAAAAACGTTTCGAGCGTTTGTGTGTATTATTGTAGAGTTTAAATTATTATCGCAGATTTATTATGTTTTTGCGAAGTTTGTCTATTAGTTTTTTTATCTAATTTCTTCAGTTATCTCGGAAATCCACAAGCCGTTTATACATGAATTGCGTGTGAGAGACAAGAAAAGCAACGGGGGTTAATGGGAGCCGTGAAATAATTAGAAGCGATGTTCGTTTCTAATATTATTTAACACTCGGTTTCTTTTGAAAACAAGCCAAACGCGTTCGTTTACATTCAGATAACTTTGTGTCGCGAGTGGCCATGTGTCGCTAATGAAGTTGTGAGGTACGGTATTGCATTTTGTGGTGTGCGCTTATAAAATTTCAATCATTTTCAACCGCAAGGTGAGTACAAAAAATTTTACTGATTATTATTTTATTATTTCTAATGCATAGCCTAATGTTTCCATTCTGAGATGTTATTGTTGAAATAATCACATTTTTTAGAACTAAAATAATTAATTAAGCGATTAAAAAACTATGTTACTTTAAGAGCTAATTAATTAGAGCATATTGATTTAAGATAATTAAGTAGTTATTTTTTCAAAAAAATAGTTTTATCTCCAATTTCCTTTAGTAGGTGCCAATTTCTCTCCACTCCCCTATTATTTAAACTTTCGTCTACGCTGATGAAATAAATGAACAATGAAAGATATAGATAAACAATTGACAAATATAATATTTTATTTTGAAGAGAGGAAGAGAGAAAAAGAATAATGTATTTGTAACACACACACATGAAATAAATCACAAAAAACATTCCGGATTTTTATATACAAGTTGTTTTAATTCTTTTTTTTACAAGTGAAAAAGAGTGCGAAAGAACAATTATATGAATATTGTTTGAGAAACTTTTGCAAGCAAATCTTTTTATACGATTATTTTGACTGTGAGTTTGCTCTCTAAAATTAAAGTGCGCTCTCTTGGTAATATACATCATTTGTACATTGCACAATAAAGACTTTATTACAGATTCCTACTCAACTGTCGGTCACATAGCAAACAGATATTATCTTACTATATATTATTAAATCTGCCTAGAAAAGTGAACGTGGTGCTTACTGTGCGTCGATGAGCTATCGATTTCTACGCCGTATATTCTTTTGTTCACGCGGTGATTTCAACGCGCGTAGAAACGACGACGAAGAAAAATCGGTGTCAAAACAGAAAGTAATCAAACTTTTCGGTGTTCTACATATTATTAAATTCTGGGATAAAATGTCGAATTTCTTCTTTTGTCAATCGTAAAATTTAATCTACATCTAATCTCTAACTAATTACATTGTCATTGTCTCAATTAAATAAAAATCTTCTGCGTTTGGTAATAATAATTAGAAAATTGAAAAATTGCTTGAGAATTTAGCTTTTAAATAAAAATTGCGTGCTAAAATATTTTTCAAAAACGTGCAAAAACACTTTGCGCCTACAACGTATGCAATCAATATTACTGAAGTTACATTTCTTTTAAGTTAGTTCAAAAATTGGTAAAAATTTATTTTCAAGGTTTAGCATCGTGAACAAAACAGAAATATTTGATCGGTTCGCGCCACTTTACTATATTCTGAGCATTTCTCTCGTGTAATAAACTAAATATATATATATCTCTTTTTTATCACAAGATCTACTTGTCAATAAAACTATAGAAAACTTCTCTCGTTGTTTTTGTTACAGTTCTGCGTTTTTTTGGATGAGCTACAAAATCTCAACGTGTAACAAACTGAGCGACGCAAACCTCGGTCGAGGAAAAAGAAATTCAGTTTGGCCAGAGAAGATCAGTAATGGCGATTTCCCTAATTTGTTCACAAAAGTGAACAAATTTACATCGCATCGTTTTTTTTTTTTTTTTTTCCAGCCCGCCTGTTCGTCCGGATCAAGATCTACGCGCCGGGAAACAATTGCGCAAGCGTAAATTGCTCGACAATGTTGTCCGCGATGTTCTGAAACGCGTCGGACAAAGCCATTTCTACGAGCGGCATTAGCTCACGCGTGAAGAGGTCGAAGTTGTTGTTAATGGCCGAGTTAATGACGTCTCCGAGAACTCGCTCACCGTCAAACAGATTGTCCAGTTTCAGCGAGCCTTTGCCCACGGACACTTTCAACCTGAATTCCTTGATGCGCAACTTCTCCACTCCGTTTTTATCAAAATACCTTTCACCCGATATTTTGCATGCACCTAGAAAAAAAAGGCAATAAGAGATCGAGCAAAACTTTATACGAAAAAAAGACAAGTGTAAAACGTCAAATTGTTGCCGTGAGAAGTAATACAATTATTAAGTACGATGTGAACGACTTGTAAAAATAATTGAATTTTATTGCGCGTATATACATGTGTAATTTTTAAATTTGCTTTTAATATTAATTTATTTGCGTGGACACAGACTCTGTCTTAATACCTCATACTTTATTACTGCACAAATAATATTAATCCTTCGCGGAGAGACCATGAGTCTTCCCAGATCTAATCAAAAATTACGCATCATCGTCTCTACACCGAAAAAATTGTATTCTTGTTTTGAGGATATCCCACTTACTTTAAGGATATTTTATACTAAAATAAGCGCCAAGAAGAGTTTCTTATTTTAAGAGGAAATTTCTCTAAATAGTAATATTGATAAGAATATATACTGATTAGAATATAAAAAGCCTCTATAGAAAAACATATATATCTCACTATCAAAAAAGACTATATTCTTAAATAAAGAACATATTCTTAATTTCAGATAAATATCATCTAAAATCTTTAAGAAGATTTTTTTAGTATAAAATCTACTTACAAGAATATAATTTTTTCGGTGTAGTAAAACTTAGTTCTTTTAAACGCTTATGTCTTCAAAGCTACTAGAGATTTTTTCAATTTGTTTTTTTTTTTATTGACGCAGAATCGTTCAAACTTTCAATTACAAAAAAAAATTAAAGATATTGATTTTTCGGAGATATTCGATTTTAAAGTCGCGCGAGTCTCACAGACCCAGTCTGTCCGACTAGTCGTCATTTTTAAAGTCCGTCCACGAAGGTTAACATTCAATATGAGAAAATGTGAGACTGATTCTTACAGATTCATTAATTTTCTAAGATCACATTTACTTGCTAATATTATTACTAATGTTTTCAGTGCTGAAAAGTTTCGATAAATTACAAAACTTTATTTAAAATTAACATTGTAAAATGCGTTGCTGCAGAAATATAAAAAGCGATACATGAATGCAATTCATACGTGACAATAGATACCTATGCAATTTGAGAAGTTGCCGGACATAGGACCGGAACCACGAATCGGAAGTAGCAACACCTTACCGTCGACGTCATATTTCCCTTCAACGGAAATATTTGGCAATTCCACGTTCACGGCGAAACGCATAGTGTCCAAATTAACTCTGAAAATCGAGAAATAACGTTAAAACCAGCGACATTTAAAAGCCAGAAAAAATTTTTTCTTTGCAAGTTTTGCTCTCATTTCTGATCGTAATTTTCAGCTAACAACAAGCTTAACATTTTGCTGGCCTATGAATCGAGATTTTCACAAATATTTTCTCTTTAGTTTAATATATTGTATATTAAAATAAATAAAAAATAAGTTTCTTGTACGTATAAATTATGTAAAAATATTTTAGTCGTACGTATGAATTGTTTTTTTTTTTTTTTTTGTATAAAAAATAAAACAATTGAAACAAACGCGAGACTCTCGCTGCCAAGACAGTTGCTTTAAAATTATACGTGACATAAAATTAGAGACGTATAGATTTATATAAAGATGCAGACTTCGTTGAACCTTGTTAGAGTTAATTATGGTGATCGCGTGTGCTTCATTCAAGCGCGATATTAATTGCGGAACTCGTGATTAATACAGTTGAACCTCGATAATTCGATCTCAAGAGAAGAGTTAAAACCTTCAAGTGTTGTAAAGGTTTCGACTTATCGAAGTTCTTTTTTCCTTTTCGCGAAGCGGAAAGGAATAAACAAAATTTTCGTCTTATAGAAGTTTTCGAGTTATAGAGGTTCGAGTTATCGCGAGGTTTGACTGTACATGTTTTAAATTGTTGTGAATTTCTTGCATCGGAACTATTGATTCGCTATCTACACACACACACACGCGCGCAACGTGTGTATTGCGTCATAAGAAAAAGTAATGAGATGTCACAGTAAATCATTAATATGGCGCGCGACTATTACTGCGTATTTTGTATTGAAAAACCACGATAAATTATTATCGGATTAATGAGCCTATTTTCTTGCCAGTTTCCACATGTGGGAAGTCGTTTCCGATTAACTAACAATTTCCGACGCGATGACATCGACCTTCTTTTTTGCCGGCCGCGTTTCTACAATGCCGTTCTACACAACGATTTTGCGCCCTTCGTTTTCTCTCCCGATCGTCAAAAATAACAATATTTTTTTGGGGGAAAATTTTTCGCGTGTCAACGCAAACACGCTGCCAAGCGATCGTGTCATTTAAGTTCGGATTTTCTGATCGTTATCGATTGTTCATTTCTTTTCTTTCTTTTTTCTTGCGTTGCGTTTTTTGAACCAAGCGATGCTATTTGTTTTGTAGATGCGTTTCGAGCGCACATGTCACGGCCGTTTCTTTCGCGCGCGCGGAGTGTACGAAACTCAAGTTTCTCATCGACGTTCAATTTATTTTCTCGTTTCTTTGTTACCGCAAATTACATATTTACGGCAACGCAAATTTTCACGACAATAAATATGCATTGGAAATCGTGACGAACGGACACATAAACTTCTTTAAATTTCATTAATACTATTTTTTCTCTCTTCGTTTATTTTATCTTTTAAGATACTTTTTTGTACCAAAAATTGGTACAACAAATTAAGAGATACATACAACAGATAAAATAAACGAGAACAGTATTAACGAAACTTAATAATTTGTTTTTAATTAATAATTGGTTAATTTGTTTTTTAATTAATAGAATATTTCGCTATTTCAAGCACGATAAGTAATAATAAATAAATTTCTTGTCTAACGTGGAGTTTGACCGTCCGGCTATTCATATTGATGGAAAGAAATAACCGCTCTATTTCTATATTGATAGAAAAAAAAGACAGGAAAGTCATCTTGATGACAAATGTTTGATCAAAGATTCAATTTTGATCAATTGATCTTACCGAAACAATTTAGCACAGCGCGCTTTATAACAAACACAAAAATTTCTCTCTCTCTCTATTTCTGTCTTTTTGAAATTAACTACCAAGTACACGAAAAAGTCGCAAGTCAACGACAGCAAAAACAACACGTGTGTGCAATTATCTCTTTCGTAACCGCGTATAATCCGCGAAGTAATCTAGTCGCGGATTGATGGTCGGGAAGAGGCGTGATTCTATGCAATCAGTAGTTTAATATCGCGAGTGGTTTATTGTGCAAAGTCGTAACGATATTATTATATCCGAGCAATATAATATTCGCGTTATATTTATATTTTATTTGTGTAATCGCAGAAAAATACTCCGTTCAACACCGTTTCATCAATCAAACATGTGTCATGTAAGAGTCGCGAGATTCAAACATCTTGTAGCGTATCGCGTTCGACTATATAATGCTCGCTCATCGCTGCAACGTTAATTATGAAACGAATGACAAATTACACTTCGTCGACTTCCGCATATTTAGATGAACAATAGAAAAAACAAAAACATTTTCAAGTGCAATATTACGCAATTCTCTCTAGGATCCGAGATTATCTGTGTGTGTGTGTGTGTGCGTGTGTGTATGTGTTATTCTTTCGTTCCGCAGATAAGCAAGTTATCCGCACTTACTTTACTTTGCTGATGTGGAAGTTGCTGGCGCCGTATACATTGACATCTGTCGCGTGTATGCGTAAACCATTCGCCGGGGAGACCACGAGTTTTTTTAGTTTTAAAGGTTCCAACGAGGGAATGTTATATTCCGGCACGCCGATTTTCAAGTACGGCTTCAAATATTCCACACTCTCGCCGACGCAGACATCGTAATGCGGATCGCCCAATTGGCAAACATGAAGAAACTCGGCTGCAAAAGCGCAATTGAAAACTCGTTGCACAAATTGTATAATTATTAAGTAAAAAAGAGAGAGAAAGAAAGAGAAAGAAAGAGAGAGAGAGAAAAAGAGAAGAGGAAAATAAGAAATAAATAAGAGAAGAGGAAAATAAGAAATAAATAAATATTCATTGCTACAAAGATCAAGAACTCAGCGCGTATAACTGATTGATAGCGGAAACGGATTGCGATATATGATCTAATTTCTGCCTATACTTTACGGAATGCATTTAGAGACCTTTCCAATAAAGAAACACGTTCATATTTTTTAAACACATTTTGCACACATACCTCATAAATTTAGTTTTGATGTTAGCTCAGAGGCAGGTTTTTGCTCAAGTTTTTTTTTTGTGCAACACACAACGCTTGTGTCCGTACATTTGCAATGACAAAACTTGAGCGCAAAGTGCAAACGTTATTATATATCATAAAAAAAAAAACATCAAATGTGAACATTCATTTTGCACAAATAGTAATTAAATTATCGATGCTCATTCGACAGTAATTTTGTGCTGTTTTTTTTTTTACGTGGAATTCACGTTCATTTAAAAATGTCGGAAAACGTTGTTTTTTTTTTTTTTTTAACTTTTTTTTGTACGATATTGCACGCATTGATTAATGCGTAAAAACTATATTGGTAAAAAATGTACTTCGACTGTAAACCAACAATAAGTATAACAATTTTATATAAAAAAAGATATCAAACAAAACGGTATAAAATATTTGAAAATTAAAAAAATTAAACAATCACACATGTGAGGTGCAGAGTCTTGATTAATATTCAGAATATTTTGATATTAATTTTAAATCTAAACCAACAATAAATATAACAATTTTATATAAAAAGATATCAAACAAAACGGTATAAAATATTTGAAAATTTAAAAAATTAAACAATCACACATGTGAGGAGCAGAGTCTTGGTTAATATTCAGAATATTTTGATATTAATTTTAAATCCAAACGTGTTATCATTATTCAAAGATGAAAAAAGTGGAAGTACAGTACGTACCCAATGAAGCTCCAGAATATATAGATGTCTATTTATAAATTAAAAGCATTATACAATAATGAAGGATTTATAATGTCAAAATTTAAGTGAAACCCGAAGACAGAGATTTTTTTTAAATAGACATTAAGTAGATTTTTAGGGCTCTAATAGCGCTCGTATTCGTTGGTTTAAGTTACAATAGCACATTAAACAAATTAAAACATTTTCAGTTTATATTTTTACACGAAAAACTTTTTTGTTACATTTTCTCTTTTGCAAAAATTCTTCTCGGCGCAATCTTGCTCCGAAAAATTGCACTCCGAAAAAATCATGTAAACGTTCAATCGCGGACATCGCGATGTCGACTCTCGCACCAAAGTTTACTCACGTAAATCTCGCGCCTTGGTCACCGCGCCGATCGTCGCCACTAAAATCGCGATCAACGTTGCCTTCGCTGTTGCTGCCATTTTCTTTTTCACACAGGAAAAATTAGAAACGGAACAATTTCAGGAAGCTCAACGAGCGGTTGCCTTCCGGATGTTCAAGTGCGAGCGGTCTCGACGAGAGGGGTGATCGCAGGGGCGATCTAGCGGCAAAGTGATCCGCGACTTGGTCGGGCTGGAAGTAGATGTTCCGGACGACGAGCCGTACGCCTTATAGAGGCCGACTAATTTCCCCCTCTGCTCAACACCCACCATCTTCACACACACATACACACATACACACATACACACATACCGAGAGAGAGAGAGAGAGAGAGAGAGAGACACACACTCCTATCACAACGCGGGATGAAAACCTATTGTTCTTCCGCGCGGATGATGCTCTCCGCAGAAGAGAAAAAAGAGAGACTCATGCGTGCCAGGCATAGAAATAAGACGCGCGAGAGAGAAGCCGCGGCGTGATTATCGCGAGCAAGATATACCTTGATCGCTGAGCAGGATCAATTTCGCGTATTATTATTTCCGATTCCGTTTCTCTCTTGTAAAACAAAAAAAAAAAAAAAAAAAAACCATCGAGTTGAAGGTGAGTGTGCAATGAAACAAAGTTGAGACAAGGCCTTTGATTAAGTTAGCGCGGTGAGAGGTTCGCTAATAAGTAAATCAAGTTTTTGCACTACATTGTGATAATCTAGCTTCAAATTAAAATCGCAGGAAATCAAAAGACATTTGCTGATTGCTACTTTACGAGATAGAATATATCTTGAGTGATGTGTGATCGAAGAGTTTCGTTTGTTGCGCGACCGAAACTTCTGATTCGAGATGTATCCCGATTAAGCATTCAGAAAGTGTATTCGAAAATGTACATAGCGACCGAAACAGATCTGTGAGTTTGATAAACACATTGTGCGATACGTGAAACGTCTGTATGCAAAAATGATATTTTATTTTATTATTGTACATAATTTGTCACATGAATTTTATATTGTGAAGTACGTGACAAGAAGAATCGCAAATACATTGGCAGGCAATTCAATTTGTAAGATACGGTAAAAATTATATAAATGTTTGTATATATAAATTGATTTTTTAAAAATAATTTTAACTTAACGTGTTTGCACCGTACTCTGCGTAACGCTTTGCGAACGAACATCGTATGTAATAATACTTAAGTTTATAACTGTACTTAAACTGTATTAAACTGTAATTAAAATAATTGCATCGATCAATATTGCTAATTCTGTGCAATTTGAAACAAAACATCGATGAATATACCACAGAACTCAACTGAAGATTAATGTTATGAAACATTTTTTATGCAAAATCTTTGCACGATATTTATTTCTCAGCAAGCTGAGCAATTGTATATAAAGAAATATTAGTTTTTCTTTCACCAAGAAGTTATATTATCGCACTCTAACAATATTACATCATAATACTTTTTACAAGAAGTTTTGCATTATATAATATTTATATACTATATAATTGCGCAATGTGTAAAAATATTATTTTACACATTGCGCAAGATTACTATATTAATAAATTATTATCATATTATTATGTTCTTATATTATATATATATATATATATAAGAAAAATTGATTACAAGTTATATGTTAGTTTGTTAGATTTTTACATATTTCCTGTTTAAAACAAAAATTTGTTTTTGTTTTTAAAAAGTTTTTTTTTGAAGCGTTTAACTCAAAAACATACTATATTAATAAATTATTATCATATTATTATGTTTTTATATTAGAAAAATTGATTACAAGTTATATGTTAGTTTGTTAGATTTTTACATATTTTCTGATTAAAACAAAAATTTGGTTTTGTTTTTAAAAAGTTTTTTTTTTTTGAAGCGTTTAACTCAAGACCATTTGAGCGTGAATTTATTTATTCCAACACACTCGTTTTTTCTTTCGAAACAAAATCGATTTCTTCGAAATCAGTCGTACGCGTTTCTAGAATTCTGATATCTGGCGCGCACTGTCCTCCTCTTTACTTTTTTGATCGCGATATTTGAGTCACGATTTTTCGAGCGATACTATCGTTTCCTGAAAAACACTCACGATACTTCACGTTTCCATCGTCATCGTGGCAGTAACCTTTACGATAACGAGATCTTTTGCAGAGAGAGAGAGTACTCGGTTTTTTGATACTCATTACGCGAATTTGGAATTCAAAGAGTCCGAGGAACAGCCACAAAATTCTGCAATGTGTGCGTTCTCAGAAAACATACATCGCACATTTTGCAGTGCAGTTAATGCGCAGTATCGATCGGAAATCTTTTCTCGACAAGTTTTTTTTTTTTATCATCATTTTATGTTAACTGTTGGAAAAGAACTCGTCTTAATAAGGAACTTTTTCTCTATGTTTTTTAAATCTCTTTTCGGTCACGTCACAATTCCCCGCCGGTTTGTCTTGTCATAAATTAGCGATCGCAGAAGTAAACATGTATCTTCTTACCTTTCGGTTATAATCTGTTGGACGACGAAATTGTTCTCGATCAAATTGTGAAAAAAGACTAAGATGCTTCAAGGCTACTGAAATTTATTATGTAACACTGACAAAAGACGCTATTTCCTCATTATTGTTGTGATTATGTATGCGTATCATGGAAGTTGCCAGCCATCGGAACTGCGCGATGAATTTCGCGATTCTTTATATTAAAATAAACATGTATAAAAAACTGTACAAATTTTCTGTGCAGATTTTCCCTTCAAAGTTGGGAAACGCAAACGTGTGTGCGCGAATAAAAACTCGAATATTACACTGAGAAAAAAAAACTAACCGCGATGTCAACAAAAGTATATATCTGCAACAAATTTTAAAAGAGCTCGCGATATTTCAACTAAGTTTTGAGATCGATGCGAGGCCAATACGCTGGATGTAAGTGCAAATATATATTTTTGTTAACGCGTAAATTAATACACGTAAAACTTTGGATTAAATTTATCTCAAAAATTGATATATAAGGTGCTTATAGTTTGCATCCCATATATGTAAAATGCCATATTTGCTTCTTTATGAAATTAAAAAATCTTATTGCTAGAAGATTCTTCGGCGAGGAGTCGAACTCAAATCTCTCGCAGCATCTTTCACGTGCGAACGATTTAATAATTCGGTTCTAAGAGAATATGATAATGTATTGACAAATAATGTAGAGTGTGAATGGGGCTTCAAAATTTGAATAAACAAAAAACGATAAAAGTGGTCATTAAGTTGTTGGTGTGTTTTTGTTGTTTGAAGTGTGTTTGTTAATACAATAGATAGTTTCGAACGGGGTTTCGATCTTGGTTCAATACAAAGAAATTAAAATGAAATGAAATAATAATGAACAATCCAAAATGATCATGGTTAAGGTCGAACATGTAATATTATATGTCAAGGAATAATATTGATAAAAAAAATTGCATACGGGAACCAGCATTCGTGATTGTTTGACATTGACCAACTTTACATGGTTAGTGGAAAACTCTCTCACTGGTTTTCACCTTGATTATTTTTTGGAAAGTTCATTACTCTTTTATTTCATTTTAATTTCTTTATTGAAAAAGTATTGAAAAAGATCGAAATCCGGTCGAAACATCTACACTGTATTAATAAACGCACTTTAAGTAGAAAAACATACTTTAAATAAACACACTTTAAAACAACAAAAACTCATCAACAACCTTGTCTTCGCTCCTAAAGGTCATTTTCATTGTTTTTTTTGTTTATAATGTATTAAGTTTGCAGTCAATTGTTACTTGTTTTTTTTTTAACTCATGTCTACAATAGTTAAAATAATGGATTATTTCTTTAGATCAACGAATATTTAGTTAATGACAGTCTTTGACTGCGGCAAATAAATTAAGCTTAAATAAGATTTTCTCGATTCATTAATGTTTTTTGCTCGGTATATTAAAACGATGTCTCGAAATTATCGAATCGTTACCAGATGTTGGATCCCGAACGAAAAGATCGTTGACTTTTTAGAAGACTTTTTAGAAGTGAATGTGAATCGACTTAATGTTATCTCATTGTACCGGTATAAAAGTCACACTAACGCGGTTCAAATACGAAAAACCATTAGAAATTCTTGAAACTTCGAAATCATCAAATATCAAATCAATTTTGTCTCTCTCTCTCTCTCTCTCTCTCTCTCTCTCTTTCTCTTTCTCTCTCTCTCTCTCTCTCTCTCTCCTTGATTTTCTTCATTCTACTTGCGTTATAACAGTGACTTTGAAATAAAAACTTTGAATACATGTAAGAATTAAACATCGAGTGTTTCTATTGGGATACAAACTGGAATTTATTATAGAGAAGTTTAGAGAGATAACAGGTTGCGTTGTTAATTTCACGAATTTAAAAAAGTTGTATCAATGTAAATCATGTGTAACATACAATAAAACGTGATGACGTATGATCATTAAATTGTTGTGTAATAAATCCCAAACCGCGGTTAACGTCTAATATTTGACTTTTAAATTTCCACACATAATTGAATTTAAAAATAAAAACCAAATGTAATGCGTAAATTTCAGAAACTATTTTTTCTCACGGAAAATTAATATTCATTTACTTCAATAAAAACTGTGCCCGATTATTTTTGAATAATTTATCCGCGATATTTGAATTTTGCAATTTGCAATTTCAAAAAACTTTGATTTAAACAAAAATCACATAATATTGTCTAAAATGCAAAACAATGAAACTTGGCTTCCGGACACGCGAGAATGATTGTTTACGCGAGTACGACCGAGTTGGCTGAAAACTTTTAATTTGCGGTCGCGTACGTCAAGACCGAGAAATCATTAAACTTATCAGAGCTACATGACATAATGTCAAGTCGCGACGACAGTCTGCTGACAGCGGACAGCGAATGGTCTTGCTACTTTACAAACAATCGAGATGGCGTCACGCCGATCGTAACTCTTTCGTTCGGTCAAGTAGCATTAAAGATTTGTTCTTGATGATTTAAAAAAAAAAATTACAGTCGATACAAGTTCGGCAGTCACGTGCAATTGGCATGACCGTGATTTCCGGTTTCTCCGGTGAGACGATAATTTCACAGCGCAAAACTCCTTGTACCGCCTAGCTGTTCAGTAAAATAAATCCGGATGCGAGTCCCCAGCATCAGAGTCACAAAATCACCGGTATTACGATACCACTTTGACTACTCGTGAACGTAACGCCGACATAAAAGTATATTTACGTCGGAGACTTCGACCTCGCGCACGCAACTCGAGATCGAAAAGTACGAGTCGATTTCCTTCAGAAATGCAAATGCAGTAAGTAAATTTTATGTATTTTTTTTTATAAACACAATGTGTTTCGTAGAATATTAATAGTATTTATCTAATATTTTAAAGTTAAAATAAAGTTCGCGCTATATTTGTTCGCAAGTTGTTTAACAAAAACATTGTTTTTTTTTATTACTGATTAATTATACATATATTGACGTATAGCAAAGAAAAAAGAACGTAATTTACGAACTTTGACTGGACGTGTATAAATAATTACAATACGAAAAAATTTTATAATTTTGTTTTAATATGTGTGGAAAATTAATTTCGTCGCAAATAAGTTCAAAGCATAAATCTATGCAAAAGAAAAAAAAATATAATTAAAATGTTTAACAAAGTCATAAACAACAGTATTAAAAACGGAATTATTAGCTTTAATTATACAGGATGATAATTAAGTACACCGAAAGAGATTTTAAAAGATGATTTCTCGTGTCTATTTCAAATCGAAAACTTTATATAGCCATATGTTCGAAACGGCTTCAAAGAATGTCAAAGTTGAAGGAAAAATAATTGTTTGTTAAAATTAGATACATTGTTTTAATAATAAAAATAACTTCTGATGTTTTGCTCGTTAATTTGGCTTGTTTTATTGTGATTTATTTATTTATTGTAGATATTACAAGCTTCGTTTTTATTAAATTGTGATTTTGCAATATTATTATTATTGTTTGAAGGAAAAATTTTGTCTTTTTGATACATTTTGGAAACCACTCGGGTTATTTTGATAAAACTTTGTGTGAATGTTTGAAGGACATGAAGAGACTCATCTTTTCGAACATTATTGTTTTACTCAATGAAGAACGAATCAAATAAGAGAATATCATTTGTTTATAAAAAAAAACTAAATCATTTCGGACGTATGAAGTTTTTGTATTAAACTAGTGTTAAGAATCATCTTTTCTAAAATCTTTTATAATAACTACTTAATTACTTTTATAATACTTAACTGCCATCTTGTAATCACTGTCCTTCTGGTCAGACTCGCACAATTTTTTTTTACTTAAACTTGATTTCGAGGATCAAAAATATCATACCGGTTTTGTAATTATATATGTATAAAAATGTAATTTTTCTCTCTGTGCGTGTGTATAAAATTAACATTGTACGTAAAACAAATTTTATTTTATTTTTAATTTTTATCTTCAGAATATAAAAGCTAATAAAAATGAATATAAAAAAAAGGAGAGAGAGAGAGAGAGAGAAAGGAGAGAGAGAGAGAGAGAGAGAGAGAGAGAGAGAGAGATACGCATGATTTGACCATAAAGTTGAAGCAAGATGTCTCACGCTATTGTATATATTTTATATATTATATATTGTATATATTGTATATATTGTATATATATTATTTCTTCATGCAGCTACTGATCTTCTTGTTTCCCATCCTATTGCTGATCAGCGAAGATAAAAATATGCACGAATATTTATCTGTTTCTTCTAAAATAATTTTTAAAAAATAAATTCACGTGTAAAAATTTACACGCAAAGTATAATATAAAAAAATATACATGTATGTATACATATATATTTTTATTATGCAACAAACATCCAGCGTAAGACTCTTATAAGACACTTTTCGAAACTTCGCATAGTTTATAACTAAAAGAGCCTAAAACTCATTATTATTAATTATTTTTTTAAGAGAGAAAATATAAAAATGACAGAAATTATTTTTTTATTTCATATTAAAAAGTTTAATATCATATTCGTAAGAGTGCACATTCAACGTTGAAAAAGAAATTAAGTTTTTTACAATTGAAGATGCGATATTCTGTCTCTTTAATAATATTGCGTAACAAAAACAAACGCAACTTGAGAACACTTACATATCATTTTTCAACGAGTCTTTAGCTCAACTCTTTGTTGAAAATAAAACAAACTCGGAATTATATTTCTAACAATGCTTAACACACAGAATGAGTTCATTGCGTTAATCTATCGTCGTGAAGAACCATCTTTCAATTTTTTATCGGTGACTCTTTGGAAAAAAAAACTTCCAATTTGCGTGGCGATTATTGTTATATACGCATTTAAGATATAAAGTACACGTTACAATTAGGCCAAATAATAAGTAAATACCTAAGTACAATGACGCTTACGTATCTTCGCATTGATTTATCGGTCACTTAACGCCAAGATGATTTATGACGAACAAACAGTCGAACAATTACAACGGCAACAGGGACCCTGTGATTTTAAATCGCTTATCGTTAGTGACAAAACGCGGAAAGTGTGACCGCGCGATTGTTTTTTTTTTTTTTTTTTTTCCGGCACATCGAATCGCTCGACATCCGCGTGTTGTTTTTCTTGCTTGTTCAAACAAAACGTTTGACATCGCGTGCAATTTGAAAAATGATACGCAAGTCACGTGATAAATACTTTTGTGTTTGAAAACAAATTTTATTTTTCCCATTGATCCTGTCATTCCGCGAGACTCTTCACAAGTCACATTTATCACTTATCATTTGTCGTGCGACAATCACACACGTACGGAATTCAAACAGCGCAAAATAAAAAAACGGGAAAACTATGAATCACACGCGCTGTGTATGCATTCCCGATCAGTACATCTTCTTTTGCGCGCGAATTACAGTGATTCCTTCGTGGAATAACAGCGCCAGCAGGAGAATGAGTGAAAATTCTGTAAACGATTATTTACGCGAACACGTAATCTAATTACCGAGCATTGAAATGCTTCGTCAAAATAATTTCAAAAAAACGTTTTGATATAATGTTTACAAATTTATTTAACGAACCGCAACTTGGTGGAAGTAAAACGAAACACTCAAACACAATTTATAGAGACTTTATTCCCATAAATCATCGAGATTTTCTTTCAAGATTTCAATTTGAGATAATGATAAAGATAAAGAACAGATTTACCATGTAATTGCATTTTTGTAAAAAAAAAAAAAATACTTATCTTAGTTAAATAAAACTTAATTATCTTAATTATCCGTGACAGATATATGTACAAAACAATTGTACGCGTGGTCATTTACATCTATTAATTACAAATCTACTTTAATGAACTTTAACACATGCTCTAACACACATCTGGTAGAAATCACTTGTGTACATTGTAAAAGGAATTTTAAAAACATTACACGTGCTATTTTACAAAAACACTGCAGAATGATTAATTGTTAGTTTCGAGTCGTCCAGTATTGTTGGCATAAAGCAAGCATGAGATTAAGAATAAATTATTACAAAACATCGAAAGTGAGTAATAACGTAGTTTCTTTTTAAATTATTGATACTTTCGAGTAATGATAATGATAGTTATTGATACTTTAATGCGTTGATTCTTTAAAGTGTTCCTTTAAAATTCCTCAAAATACTTTTGTATTTTTCCTTTCACGCAAATATTTGTAATTATATATATATATATAGCAAATATTTGTAATTATATATATATATATATTTGTAATTATATATATATAGCTAATATTTATATAATTACAGCTAAATTATACAAAGAAAAGACAAATTATTTGTATTTTTCCTTTCACGCAAATATTTGTAATTATATATATATATATATATATATTTGTAATTATATATATATATAGCTAATATTTATATAATTACAGCTAAATTATACAAAGAAAAGACAAATTATTTCTAAGTCTATTGTTCAACAAAAGTTTTACAAAATCAAACGACAAAAATATTCCAAATATCACGGCGGCTTGATTTAAATTACCCTTTTAGATAGACTTTTATTTAAATACCCTGTGTGTATCGTGGCGCGTATCTGTCGTTGTTGGGAGTGATTGACTTCGGGCGATCCGCGTGCAAAAGTTGCGCGCAAAACTTTTTCATGATCTTTTTTTACGTTTTGGAAACTACCGGCCAAAGACAAACGATCTTACGTTTTTGTTCTCGAGATAGTATTTATCCGTCGCCTGGTTTTTCCCTGTAATCGATATCGTCACTGTATCGCGAGAAGAGACTTCTGCGAAAACGTGCTTCAAGCTTCGCGGTTCAAAAGTTCACAATGATGACGCCAGTGACGATTGTCGCTTTCAGCAAAACTTATACGGCCGATCATCACTTTAATCCACGATCCAGGCGTCGTACGGTACTTGAGCAAACAGCTTTTCCACGAAATTCGACATCACCTGCACAAGCTTCCTCCTCAGATCTGGTTTCATCTCCTTCAGCAACTCCTGTGCGTTGGTGTTAATGAAGAGATTCAACGCCGCCACTGCGGGAACAAACATTAATATCACAGTACGTATATATATTTGACATTCGAACAATTGTCAATTGTTCTCAAGTTAATTAACTAAATCAACAGTTTGTCAAAGGCTGTGAACAATTAAATAATAAATAATCAAAGTTGGAGAATATTAAATAGAGTAATAAAATGTTTCTTTTTTCGCGTTTATTAACTTTGCGCGTGAATTTTTTCACGAGCGGATTAACAATGCAGATTTCTTGAAAAAAGTGTCGTTAAAAATAACTTGTGAAGTTGCAAGATAAATATTTAATTTTTTACACGCGAGAGATCCGCACAAAAAACACACGACTGCGATAAAAAGAAACAATAAAGTGGGATAGTAAAGGAAAAATGTACAAGATTATATACAAATTTTACATAACTTGAAACTTACATATTATACTGTTGCTGTCGCGCACGTTTTCAACTCCCATTTTGATATTCCGCACGCTGAAGTCCATCTTCAGTTGCTGCAATCTAAGGTAACGACGACCTTCGACCAAAAACGGCTTAGCTCTGATGAAGACTTTGGCCTTAACACCATCTGCGAAAAAGATTTTAGATGAAATCTTTAGACGAGCAGTACCGTGTTCAAAAGAAGAAAAAAAAAACCGCAACAAATTTGCATAAATTACGAAGAACGTGCACAACTGTGATGTGCTTCACTTTAACAATGTGCCGTCGACGCGAAAACGTTTGCGCAAGAACTTTCTCTCTATGAAACGTATATATAAAACTTAATTATTTTTTCTTTCTCTAATATTTTTTTTTAATTAAATCGACACACGGTTTACACAAACGTTTTGCGTTAAGCAATGCAAATTAAATGTTCATCACATTTAAGTAATAATTTATAATTATTCATAAGCTATACTTTTAATTTGTAATTATCCATAATCCTAATTTATAATTATTTTTTAATCAATTTGATGTGTATTAAGCTCTAACAATTTAAAAAATTTTCCAATGGAAATAAATGGCTCTTAGAAGCAAACACCGACATGTGAAGGTGCAAAAAATTTTTTTATCTTTGTTATTAAATGTATAACGTTTTCGACCTCTAGGTTTAGGTCATTTTCAATACAATAAAAGTGCTGATTAATTAAAACGCGAGTGTCGACGGATTACAAGATGATGTTCTAGAGTGGCCGCAAGTAAGAACTAACGACTGAATATAACAAAGATTAAAAAATTTTTTGCACCTACACATCGGTGTTTGCTTCTAAGAGCCATTTATTTCCATTGGAAAATTTTTAATTATTTTTAATTTATATGTCACAAAGAAAAACTGTTGCATGCTAATTGCCTATAGAAAGGCGCAAGTATCATGCAGCGACTATCAGAAAGAATCTTTCGATGTTCACAAAGCAGATGTGTAAATCGTATTGCCATTCGCAAGGAGTTTGATGAAATGATACGTAAGTGATTAGCACGGCAGAGATTCTCATATGAAAGTGTCTCTCATTCACAAATAACAAAAACTTGAAAATATTTTTCACATAGGAATTCAAAGGAATTTAAATGCACTCGTTTTAATTTGTTTAAAACAAAAACTTGTTATTATTGTCTTGAAGTTCTAAAAGTTCTTTTTAACCGAACCAATCTTGTTTATTTTTTTTTAAATAGATTTTATTTGTTATTGCGTAGAAATATTTAATATTTAAAATGACATCTCTGCATTTTAGTTTGAAACAACAAATTGATTGCAAATTTACATTGCATAAGTAGTGAAAGTTCCTGCATTCACGACATACTTTTGCACCTATGGCACTTTACTTGACCGATAAAATTTACGTCCGGAACAAAGCGTACTTTTTTTCTCTCTAATGGCGTATTTTTTTTTCTAATTAAACAATATTTTTTTTTAACAAGATGTTGTAGCAATTTTTGTATAAGCAGATAACTACATAACTGCGTTACGCGCACGCAATATTATGCTGCGAAATAACATAATTAATTAATGTGCATTGTTCCAGGCCTCTTACCGTATTCCCCCCAGTAATCTCCGGCTCCGCTTGCCTGAACCAAAATCAAAGTTCCGCTGGATCTGTATCTTGCGCCCGCTCTAATTTTTGGTATGCTAAAGGCCAGTTGTAGTTGCACCTCATCCTCGCTCAATCTCGTTCTGAGACCAGTTATTCGCAGAGTGGAGACACCTCTCGCGGTAATATTCCGGAATTGGCCTCTGTACGCATCCGGACCGTCTCCGAGTGTGATGTGCAACTCGTCCAGAATAATTGGTTCTACTTCAGTGTAACCCAGTTGCGGTAAACCTGCAGTTGCAACGTAGTACATAGTTGGAACGTATAGCAATATTATCTCGCCGCAAAATAAACACGCTACTTTCTCGGCGCGATAAACTGATACATATGATTTTAAAGAATTTTGCTATACATTTTTTTTTTCTATTATTTTTCTCAATTAATGCGATTCCAGTTGTCAATAACTAGAACAAGTTAACTATTATTAGAATATTGCAATTACTACATAATTTGACAGAGTAATAATTTTGATGTGTTTAACGCTTCAACAATTTAAAATATATTTAACTGAACAATGGCTCTTAGAAGCAGACACAGATGTAGAGGTGCAAATTTTGACTTTGTTTATTATAAAAGTAAAAGGAGAACGTTTTCGATCTGTGGTTTATTTGACAGAGTAGATTGCGAAAATTTAATAAAATTTAATAATTATTTGACAAGTGCCTTTATAACTCATTAAAATAAAATGAAAATAAGGATAAAATTAAATAAAAAAAAAATGCGTTTGAAGAACGAGTTATATTGTACACTTCTGAAGCACTACACATCGTACAAAGTAAGTCGAATGTAGGACACTGGGTGATCAGTCGAATACACCGTTAAGTAACCTGCTTCTTTCTCTAAAAAATCACGTGATTATATAGAACTGATTGGAGCTTCAAACTTTCGACTTTCAGTTTATTTACAAACTTCAGTTTATTTATACAAAGTTTGTGTACATATCTTTTATTGCGCCAAACTAAAAAATACTACACACAATTAACGCAAAGTAGTTTTTTTTTTTAAACAGTTGTTCAAGAAAGATGAATTTCAGTCGGACTTCGCACTAGTTACGTTCCATTTACGAAAAAGATATGTGACATGTACTAATGCAAGTGATATATATTAGGTCTAATATATACCTAACCGGTACCGGAAAGTTCTGTCCGTTTTTGGAATAAAACAAAATACAAATTTTTCTTACCGTCAATAAACTTTATTAAATAATATAATTGCCATTATTGTTAATGATTTCTTGCCAGCGTGAGGGCAATTTGTATTTTTGAAAAATTAAGAAAAATTTGTATTTTGTTTTATTTCAAAAACGAACAGAACTTTCCGGTAGATCTAATATATATATATATATATATATATATATATTACAAGGTTTACTAACATTCCCGGATAATATAAAAATTAGCAAACGAGAATGCGCAAGCGTTACCTCGGCAAGCCGCAAATTCCAATCGTCTACCTACGTTCACTTGACGCAGCAAGGAAAACGTTTAACTTTATATTTTTGAGGTCTCTTACGTGCTGTACAAATGATCAATTATAACAACCGTTCGTAATTTATTGAAGAACGCTACGACACTCAGTCGAGATTCATCCTGCATCTTTAATATGTATTAACAAATGTTGTAATTTATACGAGATCGAGTCGAATCTTTTTGGAAACTTCATGTTTCGGAGACAAATATTGTAAACATAGCGACATACACCGGTGCGAATATTATTTTGTACAATTCTAACAAAACATAACAAGATAACAAAAAAAGTTCTTGTTATTCAAAGGGATAAAACTTAGGTTTCAATCTGGTAACAAAAACTCTCTTTAAGAGTAAAAAACTTGTAATATTTTTCACACAAGATTTGATATTTGATGCTTACGCGGTGTGTTAACGTTCGAAGATGTTTCTCAGGCTTGAACCGCGTGTCATTTTTACACCGACGTGAAGATTTCTGTTCGCTACATCGGAGTTTCAAGAAACAATTTGTTTCTTGACGACGAGCGAGGACATGTAATAATTTTTCCAGACCTCACCTTGACGAAAATGGTTGACGAGTACATTGGCCGTTCTGGCCAGACAGGCTTCCAGCTTCGGATCGCGCTTGGAGCACGGCTCCAGGAATTCCAGACCCATGTATCTGCCGATGGCCTGGGCGCCGATCAGCAACGAGCACACGCAACACAATAGTAACACGGCACTCGTCATTTTTGTTTTTTTTTTGTCCGGGAAAGATACTTCTTGCAGATCGAACTTATCCCGTATCTACAGACTACCAAATCGATCGAGTATCCCGACGAAGAGTGATCGGCCGGGAGTACCGCGTCGGACCTTATAGGCTACCTTGACATTGCCCCCCCGCTATACTCCCCGTTATATCCCGAAGAACGAAGCGCTAGACGAGAATCGAGTCTTCACCGAGTGCATCATCAGCTTTATAATTCTTAGCTTCTATATAATATGCACGTGTGGTAAAATATAAAGTGATTGAAAACACTAAACATATAATATAAGATACGCTCGTTAATATAACAATAAAATATGACAAAATAACAAGGTCTGTTTCGAGCTAATAGAAGATCTTTAAATTTTTTATTAATAGACAGTGATATCAAATAAAATATGGAATGATATCGAATAACAAATTACATGATTGAAAACAAATTCTCCCAATATTGCAAAACGTTTCTTTAAAAATATTAAATTTTTATACATTACTGTTTAGGTTTTTATGAAATTAAAGTTATTGAAATAAAGGGAGACTGAACAAGAATATAAAACAAATTTTTATTCTTAAAGAGACTTGACAATTTTGATTTTACACTGCGTGTAGATGTAAATTTAAAAAAAAAAAGCAAATTTAGTAACAGATTTGAAATATCCTGTCTAATTTACATTTTCAAGAGAACCTTAAAAAATATCTTAAATAATAAAAAATATCTCTTACAAATATCTAATCTTACTATCTGCTGTACATACAACCACTTGATCTCTATCAGTCGATCCTTATTAATTAAGATTAATATATAAGATATTAATTAATTAATATATATAAGATATTAATTAATTAGATCCCTATTAATTCTGTCATCGATTCAATAATTCTAATAAACTTTGAGTGACTGCGTACGCGTACGATTTGTATGTTAATAAATATTTGAATTCACTGTACGTTTTGTTTTAATTCTTAGAATCGACGTAGACAAAGACGTGACGTCAAAACTCATTTTGACGAGAAGTCTCGCAACTTTCTTTTTAACAAGAACCTAATTTCACTTGTTTGTAAATTACTTCTGTGTAGCAAATTATTCGTATTAAAAGAAATAGCAATTCGGCTGATGGAAATATTGCCAAAGACCCGAAGAACAGAACGATCGAGTTTAATGTAGTTTTATCGCTCGCTTTCTCGATAATTGCAAACGTTTGTTTATAACTTTCCTCTGTCTTCACGGTAACATCAAAATAGCGCATCGCGCTTAACGATATAATGGGAATGACGCTTAAAGAGTAGTTTTCTCCGCGTCTCCGGATAATTAGCGGTTCTTAATAATCGTGCAATTTGAGCTCACGTATTGCGTGCATCACAATCCTCGAATTGCAATCTATTTACGCAACTGAAATGGCTGATTAAATTGCGCAATTTAAAGCCGCATAAAACAAAAATTCTTCTTCGTTTGAATTTAAAAAAGCGTGGCCGGACAATAAAAAATTGCATCGAAACATTTAGTTCGCGACACCGATAAGTTGAAACAATGAAAACTGGTCAACGCCCGTATATGCGTAAGAAAGCGCTTAACGAACGTCAGAGCGAACGTCACAGACGTTCCAGGAATTAAACGAGGTAATATTAAAACACCGTTAATCGTCTCGGTCACGTTTGCTTTTGTGCAACCGAAGCTCGCTAAAGATTGTCACCTCGGTCGCGACTTCCTGCGCTTGTTTTCGAAAACGTGAGCGAGAAATGAAATCGAAAGGAGATGCGGGATCGCATCCCGCGCGAATCGCGAACAAAACTGCGACTGTATATGCGATACAATCGCGAAGATACAAAGTAGCATAAAGAAGTTCACGCGGACTTCTTTATGCGCTGCCGCGCATACACGCTTCCGCATTCCTCTTCGTCGAACGACCGGCATTCTTCTCGATCGACTCTTTCTCACAAGCACAAACCTGTGCGTATATATATATATATATATCGGAACACAAAATCTACACACAAACATACACAACAAACATGATGCACAATGAAGAGTAACGCTAGAAATAAATTGTTCTCTAATTAACTACTATTACAACTTTTTTCTACTAATTATAATGTTATCGCGTAATTTATCAACAGTCATGTGTAATTTTCTAAGACGCAATGTCAATGACCTTCCACTTCGGAGTGTTGTGACACTCGTAAAGTCCAGTTCCGATGGAACGCACGGTCGAAGACCGTCGCTTCTCTTCACGAAGAGACGTCGGGTACATAAAAAAAACTCTCTCATCGTTACTTAACTCTCGTCAAGCTATATACATGACAGTTCGCATAATACAGAAGACGTATAGATAATAATCAGGTATGTTTAATGTGCCCGATGATTCATTAGCGAAACTATTTGAAGCAACCAACGACACAAAGAGGAATCGAATTACATTCGGTGAAATGTGAAACGGAAACAAAATATTAATTAAGTAAAAATCATAAGAAAAGAGTATATTTATATAAAGTGTGTTGTACAAGTAAATATATCTTATGTTTACATATATGACAGTTTTTATACATATGATTAATGAGCAATAAAACCGATTACGATTAAGCGTAATAGTGACAAGAACATCGTGGAATCGCGGGAAATTCTCATATCTCGATATGCTCCTCTCCCGCTTTCCCACGTGTCGACGCAATGCTGCAACACTGGCAAGTATCGTTTGTTTGTTTGTCGATAGAACGAGAAGGAGATTACGCTTTTTTTTTTTTTTTATTTTAATTCCACTCCCGAGTCGAATTCGACGACAGTTTTGGTTTGAAAATCTGTTCGAACGGAAAATTTCGGAAACCGGTGTCGAAAATTTCCGTGAAAGCATTGGACACGAGTTCGTTGATTAAAGGTCTCATTATTACAAAACCAGGCTGCCATGCGCTGTTAATTATCCGATCGAGAAAATCCTCCACAAACTTCTTGCCGAATACAAGATTTGTGATGTGAAGCTGCATGTCCTTCATGCTTTCCACGTCTATATAAACCTTCAACTTCTGTCCCGGTAGTTTGGTTATGGTGGTCGTTTGCATCAAATTGTCTGCAAGAAGCACAAATTAAATCGCATCTGTACACAAGCAGATGTTAAGAAACAATATAGTAAATCTTGTCCCGTGAAAGTGTGAAAATTCATGTCTTTTATATCGCGCTTAGAAATAAATTAATATTTCTCAAGTATATATATCTCAGCAAACCTCTCTCTCTCTCTCTCTCTCTCTCTCATTACTTATATTTAATGATGTTTGATACAAAATATATATAAAATATATATAAAAATTATATATA